AGAAAAAAAAAATGCATGGGAAAAACCTGGAATATTTGCCCAACTGTGAGGCGAGGCTGATGGCTAAGGGTGACAGAAGGCCAGGCCTGCCTGTTCCTCCTGCCTTTTAACTTTCATTTACTGAGAACGCATTATTTTGAATTCAAACACGACATAGGGTTTTAAAAGGAAAAGTCGGTCCACAGTGGAGAGGGGCGGGGAGCTAGAGGCTGGGCATGGAAATCCAGTGGCGAGGCTTCGGGGGACCCTGGGCTGAGCCAGAGATCAGAGGCCAGGATGTTACTGTGATGCAGCCATGCGGGCCTTGTGGAACGTGCCGTGGCACAGCCTGCGTGGTGCTGCCTTCCCGGGTGCTTGGGTACCAAGGCTGATACGGACCTCAGATTCCTTGTTCACTGGGGAGGCCAGGGCCCAAGGGGAAGGGGCAGCCAGCCTCCTTGAAGCCCCCTCAAGCCCTTGCCTGGGGATTGAGCACGAGGCCACAAGCCCAGCCATCCCATCACCCGCTGGTCATTGCCCAGAGCTTCAAAGGAGAACGAATGTGCCATGTCCTCACACCCAGTCCTGCGTCCTGGGGGGAAGTGGGAGCCCTGTGGATCTCGAGGTGACACCCTGTGTCTTTGAATGCAGAGATCATTAAGGAGGCTGAGGTGCCGCAGGCCGCACTGGGTGTCCCAGCGCACGGGACAGGGGAGAGTGGCCACACACCTGCGGAGGAGGAGGTGGGGGGCATCCCAATACCAGCCCCAGGGCTTCTGCAGGTCACAGAGAGGAGGCGTAAGTACTGCTCCCCTGCCCAGTGCCCTCTATAGAACCCTGTGAGCTCCCCCAGGAGATGACGAGGCAGGGTCCAAACACTCTCTGGGGGGTCTGGGTGCTGGGCTCTTGCAGCTTGGGTGCTCTGGGTGTCAGCTGCACCATCTGTCAAGGGAAAGCTTTCTAGTCTAGAGTGAGCGCAGCACCCATCACATCCTCCCGGTGTTGGGCTTTGCAGGGAGCTGTGGTTCACCCACGAGCCTTGTGGGAAGACACAGTGCACACTCTCCTAGACTACCCCAGGGCTCTGACTGTACCCCTCTGCCCTCTAGACCCCCAGGGCTCTGAGCAGCCTTACAGGAGGGCCTGAGGACTGACCGTACCCCCTCTGCCCTCAGAGCCTCTGAGCAGTGTCTCCTCTCTGGAGGTCCACTTTGACCTCCTGGACCTCACTGAACTGACCGACATGTCCGACCAGGAGCTGGCCGAGGTCTTCGCTGACTCAGACGACGAGACCCTCAACACGGAGTCCCCGGCAGGTGAGGCCAGCGTGGTGAGCTGAGGCCCCTTGGGAAGTCCTGGGTTGCTGCACATGTTTTAGCAAAAGTCCATCACCGCATCACCATGCTGCTATTGCCCAACCGGAAGCTGCTTAAACGTTACTTTTTAGCCGAGTCGGGCAGATCACAGGTCAGGAGGTCAAACCTGGTCACTGTGGTGCAACCCAGTCTCTACTAAAAAAAATACAAAAATCAGCTAAGCGTGGTGGCATGCGCCTGTACTCCCAGCTACTCGGGAGGCTGAGGCAGAAGAATCACTTGAACCTGGGAGACAAGAGGCTGCAGTGAGCCAAGATCGCACCACTGCATTCCAGACTGGGTGACAGAGCAAGACTCCGTCACACTGAGTCCCCTTCCCATACCCCCCCCCAGGCCTCCCAGCCACACTGAGCTCCCGTCTTACATCCCCCCCAAGGTCTGCACCCGCTGCCCCGGGCCGGCTGCCTGCGCTCCCCTTCCTGGACGAGGACAAGAGCTGAGCAGAACCGCGAGAAGCAGACCCTAGGCGACCCCGAGCGGCAGGCTGCAGTCCTGGACACGTTTCTCACTGTAGAGAGGCCACAGGAGGACTAGGCCATCTCTGCCTGCCCTCTAGCTGCTGCAGGGCTGGGGTCAGACCACCACCACAATGGCAGATCTGGGCAGTCCTGACCCAGCAGACACACTGCATCCTCCCACGAGGTTCCAGCCATCACGTCCTGACACAGCGAGTCAGGGTTGGAGGCGCTCTGGAAGAGGCTCCCTGCCAATCCCGAGGCCTGCCTTGTCTACTGGGCACAGGTCTTAGCCTCACTTGGAGACCAGCGGCTTTCCTGGGGGACACACGGGGCCCCTGGATGCCTCTGGGGGCCCCAGCACAAGCACAGCCCAGTGGCCTTACGTCCAGCTCATTCCTGGGCCCCAAATCAGGAAGACAGCATCATGGAGTCACTGCCAGGCATGCAGTGAGGAGTGAAGCAGGCCATGGCGGCCTTGGGGTGAGGGGGACCTAGGCCTGTGAGAGCCACTCCAGGAACTCCTGGGTGTGCTCCAACCTCCACGTTTTCCCTGCTGCACAGCTCAGAAGCCAGAAGTGGGTTTGGCTAATGGGACACTGTGCTGTCCAGCAAAGCACATGGAGGAGCGGCCCCAAAATTCCCACGTTGTCTCCATCTTGCCCCTTCTAACCCAGGGAGCCACTGTCTCACCAGGCTCCCCACCCCATGTCTCAGCTCCGAGACCTGCACCTGCTTCTCCTGGTCCCTGCGTGAAGCCATGTCCATCCCTCCTTAGCTCAGAACACCAAATATCACCAGACTGCCTCAGAAACTTGGTGACACCTCCCGAATGCTCTCAGGCTGGGGTTCACCCTCTCCCTGACCTGCACCCACTATGAGACCACATCCTCGTGTATGCTCACATCCCATTGCCCAGATACATGGCCTGTCCACGGCCCTTAAACTTGCTGGGCATGTTTGGGGCCCATGAGACCCCATGGGTCTCAGGGAGCAGCAGGGGAGGCTGACAGGCCCTCCTTCCTCTACTCTGGGGATGTCTGGGGGCCCCAGCTCATGCCCTCCCAGTGGTCACAGAATAAGCTCCTTGCTCGACAGCAAGTCAAACAATGAGTTTAATGAGTTTAACATCCAAGTGGAAGCTTGCTCTCCATCCCCAAGCTAACCCGCCCCCCGCCCATTTCCCATGAGCACACTTCTCGGGAAGGAAAACAAGCTCTTGGCCTCGTGGGCAGAGCTTCTGGAGATGCCCAGGTGTACCCTGAGCTCCTTCTGTGTAGGGGGCTTTAGAGGCGGCACCTGCTCCCACTTCTGAGCCACTCCCTGCCTCTCAGCACTGCTCTGCCATCCAGTTCCTTCCTTAGCCAGGTCTCCACCCCTGGTTTCCAGAACAGAACCCAGCAGCTCTCTCCTTCAGTCCCGTGAAAGTAGGCTTGCGCCCCTGGCCACACCTCCACCCACAAGGGTCTTCCTCCCCATCTTCCATCCTTCTTGCTGAGGTTCCACAGAGCTCATTTACAAACAGTGGGATTAAAACATCACTGCGGGTTTGACGGCCTGGCTGCAGTCTCTGCCTTTCCAACACCAGAGTGCACGAGGTGCCTGCTGAGGGGCATGGGCTGAGCTGCCGGAGCCCGAGGGCTCTGCTGTGCTGACTTGGCTCACATCTGGGGCGAGTGTCGTAGTTAACAGAAGGGATGATTAAGGGAGTAAGTCCTGCCCACAGGCACCGTGAAGGTGGCCCAGGCAGGGGAGTCGCTCTCGAAACTCATGTCCCAGCGGCCACTAGCACTGGTCACGGGGAGGCACCAGATGAAGCCAAAACTCCTACCTACTGTCATTACTCATAGGGTGAGATGCCATGGATCCCGGCCAAGGGTGACCTGCTTTCTGCCAGGCCCACGGGGCTCTGTGTGCTTTCATGCTGGGCTCTGAGAAATCGGGACTTCCCACACGTGAAAAATTTCAGCCAGGTGTCTTATGACCGTGGACCCAGAAACAGCCTCGGTCAGTGCTGCGCCTTCCCCAGAGAAGGCCTCTACCTTCTGGGAAGGGTACACAGCTGCTGCCAGGTGCAGGCATTCCACCCCATCCCACCTTCCCTTCTGGCAGAGGGAGGGAGGCAGGCAGGCTGACAAATAGAGGGGCTGAAGGCTCATGTCCCCAAGGGGTGCACAGACCACAGTGCCCAGAGGCATCACACCGCTTGGGTGATGGTGCTTCTCCGCAAAGGTGCAGCTGGGCCACCCTGACAGGCAGATGAGGGCAAACTGTGGGTCACACTCAGGACAGGTGGGAAAAGACCGTGGAAAATGGGTGTGTCAGATTCCGGGAGTGAGATGGCTCCAGATTTACTTAAGGACTAACTTGTGAAGGACACAGGTGGGAAGGCTGGGGGGAAGGCGTGTGACAGCCCTAACAAGGTGAGGCAGGAGCTGAGAAGACAGTTCGGAAGGGATTCTTGTGCCTCCCACACAGATTATCATGAAGGGCCGCACATACATAGCTGCCTGGGAGGTGACAAAACGGACGCCCAGGCTCTCCAGGGGTGTCGGAGGGAACTACAGTGGGGCCAGGGCCGTGACCACCCTGCATCCTGGAGGCCCCGCCAGATGCTGCGATGTCGCGGGGCCTGCTGGGGTAGAGGGAGCACCCCTGCCTCCATCTGAGGGACCAAGACCCAGCCCCAACCAGACCCCAGGTGGCTCAGCCACTCTGGGTCTGGTGGAGGCCATGGTGAAGGCTGAGTGCTGGAGAGTTTTGAGTTCAATGATGTGCCCTTTGCAAACAGCGAAAGTTGAACATGCTCACCCCAGTTGGAAATTATATTTTTAAGGCTCCGAGAAAAAAGTCACAAGCAATTTGCAAAACGTACTATGAAGTCCCCGTGCGGTGTGGCCTAGACGGAGAAAGAGGCTGAGAACAAAGTATGCCCAGCACAGCCAGCAGGGCCACCTCCTCCTGCCACTCACCCAGGACATCCGCAAAAGGGTGTCTCCCCATTTCCCATCCGAGGTAACCCAGATATGCATCCACCCCCCGCGAGGCAGTGGTCGAGGCTGACACTGCACAGCCCTGCTGCTGCTGACCCCAGAGAGTTCTGGAGGCAGGTCGTGTCCTGGAGAAAGCACACGGGCATCCTCACCGAGTCCCCCACACCCCAGAAAAGAAAAAGCAAAGCCTCCCTCAGTTAAAGTTTGGTGCCTTAGGAGGCACCAAAGGGCCTGGAGCTCAAAGCCCAGACGGGCCTTCCTTTTATTAGGAGCCACCCAGCCCCGGGAAAGGGGTTCATGAACAGACACCAGGGCCAGAGGCGGCCGCATGCTGAGGCAACAAACATCCCTGAGCCAGCCAGGGCCCTGCAGAGTTTCCCCTCCAGGACTCCAACAAAGAGGTCACAGGAGCAGAAGCTGATGATGCAGTCTTAAGTTCAGACACATCTGCAGTTAAAGCACCTCCACCCCAAGGATAGGTTTGCTAAGCAACTGACGTCCCTCGCACTCAGAGCAGGGCTGCCACGGGGCCAGCCACCCCAAGGATAGGTGCCAGGTTTTGCTAAGCAACTCACGTCCCTCCCACTCAGAGCAGGGCTGCCACGGCGCCCAGCAGCAGATAGAGGCCAGGGGTGCCCAAGAGTGGAACCCCAGGCATTCAGGTTTTGCTAAGCAACTCACGTGCCTCCCACTCAGAGCAGGGCTGCCACGGGGCCCAGCAGCAGATAGAGGCCAGGGGTGCCCAAGAGTGGAACCCCAGGCATTCCAGGTTTTCCTAAGCAACTCACGTGCCTCCCACTCAGAGCAGGGCTGCCACGGGGCCCGGGTGCAGGCAGAGATGGGGTTTGCCCGGGCATGGAACCTCAGGTATGGAGCCCCACAGTTCCACCATCCTTCCTCAGCCACGCACCTGTGGGTGGAGTGGGCTTTCCCTCTGAAGGACAGATCAGCAGATGAGCTTCTACCCATCCAAACAGCTACTTAAGAAACCTGACTTTCCCTTGACAACTGGCTGGTGTTCTGAATTCTACCAAACCGAGAAGGTTTCTGTGCTGGGCCCAGACTCCTCTGAGTGACTTTATGACCACATCAACACTCCTCCACAGAGGCAGGCCCCAGGAAGGTTCAGTGTCTTCAGGTTCCCCATCAAGTCCCTCCTGAAGCTACACTCAGGGTTCCCAGACAGGCACCACGCGTTCCTTGGCACCACGGGAGAGCCCTGCTCCCCTCCCTCTAACCCGGGACCCAACTGTCCTCTAGCAGGGCCCAGGGACTCACGGCAGCCCCTCCGCCCACCCCACGCCCTGCATGTGAGCTCAGAGCACCCTCATCTAAAACACCAGTTTGCAGCTGTCACATTTTAATTTCTTTTGGTGAGCTTCTGCAGCTGCTTTGCAAAGGTCCCAGGTAATCAGAGTCACCTCAGCTCCACCAGCGGCTACAAGAGCTCCCCTGCACAGGCTGCTCTACGTCTCCCTCCTCCTGTCCCCGGTTCCAGCACTTCAGCCCCGTGGGAAGGGATATGTCCTCCTCCAGGCCACCCGTGCCCTCCACAAACTCCTCGTAGGTGGACTTCTCCGCGAAGGGCCAAGGGCCCAACAGCTCCACCAGGTCTGCCTTCTCCAGCACTTCCTTCTCCAGGAGCCGCTGGCCCACCTGGAAACAATGGCCCACTTGTCAGATAGCTCTGAGGACGTGCTCACGGCCCAGAGCTGAGCAAGCCCAAAGATAGGTGTGGCCTGAATGTGACCCCCAACATGGGAGCCATGACCCAGCCATCTGGGCAGAGGCCACACTAACCTTCTCCATATGCTCCCGGCACCGTGTCAGCAGGTCCAGGGTGCACGTGTAGGCGGCGCTGATGAGGCGCCGGACCTCCTCGTCAATGAGCTGGGCAGTTGCCTCGCTGTACAGCTTCTCCACCAGGGCCTTGCCTTGTTGGGGAAAGTTGAAGGACACCTGGCCCAGCTTCTCACTCATCCCAAACTGCACAATCTAGAAGTATGGAACCCAGGGTGAGCCTGGCTGGACACAGTCACCTGCAGCCCACACCAGGGGATGCCCATGCTTTACCTGGGCATAGGTGCTCTGGGTCACCTTCCTCAGGTCATCCTGAGCCCCCACAGTGACCTGCCCGAAGCACAGCTGCTCAGCCACCCTGCCCCCGAGCATCATGCACATGCAATCGAAGAGCTGCTCCCTGGTAAAGAGGTGCCGCTCCCTCGGCAAGTACTGCACAGAGCCCAGCCCCTTGCCCCAGGTGATGATGGACACCTGCAGGAGGGGACACACACCCTTGTCACCTCATGCTCCCGAGGCAGGTACTGCACACGACCGAGCCCCCTGCCCAGGGGATGATGGACACCTGCAGGAGAGGACACACGCCCTTGTCACCTCATGCTCCCTCAGCAGGTACTGCACACGACCGAGCCCCCTGCCCAGGGGATGATGGACACCTGCAGGAGAGGACACACGCCCTTGTCACCTCATACTCCCGAGGCAGGTACTGTGCATAGCTGACTCCCCCGCCTAGGGGATGATGGACACCTGCAGGAGATGATACACACCCCCGTCACCCCAAACACAGTCCCCACTTCCTCCAGAAGCCACCCTGGAGCAGCCAGGTCCACCTGACCCTAGCTCTGACTGCAGGCCCTTTTTCTGAAACATGAAAGAAGAGAGCCTGATCCAAGCCCCCAGACACCCTGGGGATGCCCCGAGAAGTGCACCCGCCTCTGGGAGCTTCACATGGAAGCTGCCTCCGCTCTGCCCACCCTGTGGAAGCTCTGGCAGGGCCCAAGAGCTGCATGCAAGCTCAGGAGTGAGGCGAGCTGAACACCGAGGCTGCTGCCTGGAGTCACATTGCCGAAGCCCCATTTGGAACCCACTGCTCTGCCTTCCCACCCTGAAGGGATCTCCTGACAAGTTCTAGAGCAGCATATTCCTTAAAAAGTTATAGGGCCACTTCCTGAATGTACCATGGCCACATGACCATGGGTTGTCCCAGAGATACCAGGCGCAAGCCTGCCAGGTGGACTCACTCGGGGCGCGGCGGGGGGACACCAACCTTCAGCAGGGGGTCTGCGTGCTCCAGGAACCAGCCCACCACCGCCTGTCCGGCCTCGTGGTAGGCCACAGTTGTCTTTTCCCTGGGCTGCAGGACCTGGGTCTTCTTCTCAAGGCCTAGACATCACATTCCCAGGTGAGTCAGGCAGGGCAGGAGTAGGTGGCTGGGAAACGAGGCCACTCCCTCTGCACCCAGCCAGCATCCCTAGGCCCATCTATGCCAGACAGCAGAAGCCAAGCCCCTGTTCCTGCTGCCTTCTGCTTTGCAGTGAAACCCACCAACCATATACCTCACACGGAAGCCTTAAAACAGGCCCAAGCTGGAGTGCAAGACCAGAGTTCAAGATCAGCCTGCGCAACACAGCAAACCCTGTCTCTACTAAAAATACAAAAATTAGCTGGGTGTGGTGGCGCACATCTGTAGCCCCAGCTCTCAGGAGGCTGAGGCAGGAGAATCGCTTGAACCCAGGAGGTAGAGGTTGCAGTGGGCAAAGATCACACCACTGTACTCTAGCCTGGGCAAGAGAGGAAGACTCTGTCTCAAAAAAGAAGAAAGGAAATGCCCAGGATGGATGGTCCCTGCAGCGTCCATGAGGCTTTTCCCAGGAAACCGCATCCATTCCCATTCCCTTCAGGGAAGAAGACTGCTTCGCCCTCCACAGCAGGCATTCAAAGCTGCTTCTAATCTGCTTCCTTGGGCCTCACATGGCCTGGAAGGCCAATCCCTTTCAAAGTCTAAATGTTGCTCCCAAAAGGGGCATGAAAGCTGTTGGAAGATCCCAAGTCCCATGTGTTGGTTTAGAGACTTGGTTCCTGCAGCTAGGTACAGTGGCTCACACCTGTAAACCCAGCACTTTGGGAGAAGCCAGGTGGATCACATGAGGTCAGGAGTCTGAGACCAGCCTGGGCAACATGACAAAACCCCATTTCTAAAAATACAAAAATTAGCTGGGTATGGTGGCATGCCCCTATAATCCCACCTATTTGGGAAGCTGAGGCAGGAGACTCACTTGAACCCAGGAGGCAGAGGTTGCAGTGAGCCAAGATTGTGCCACTGCACTCCAGCCTGGGCAACAAGAGCAAAACTCCATCTCAAAAAAAAGAAAATGGGTTCCTGCATGAGAATTGATTTTTTTTTTTTCATGAGATTCTCCTGCCTAAGCCTCCTAAGTAGCTGGTACTAGACATGTGCCACCACACCTAGCTAATTTTTTTTTTTTTGAGACAGAGTTTCATTCTGTCACCAGGCGTACAATGGCGTGATCTGGGTTCACTGCAACCTCCGCCTCCTGGGTTCAAGTGATTCTCGTGCCTTAGCCTCCTCAGTAGCTGGGACTACAGGCACACACCACCACACCCAGCTAATTTTTGTACTTTTAGTAGTGATGGGGTTTCATCATGTTGGCCAGGAATAGTCTCGATCTCCTGACCTTGTGATCCACCCACCTTGGCCTTTCAAAGTGCTGAGATTACAGGCGCGAGCCATGTGCCCAGCCTAATTTTTACATTTAAAAAACGAGACAGGGTTTCATCATGCTGGCAAGGCTGGTCTTGCACTCCTGACCTCAAGTGATCCACCTGCCTTGGCCTCCCATGGTGCTGGGATTACAGGCGTGAGCCACCGCACGAGGCTTGCATGCAGAATTGAAACTGGGGCCAGAGGGTGAGCCTGCCAGGCCTAGAGCTGCAAACACCCCTCCCTCCCTCCCCAAGCTGCCAAGCTCACCTCTGATGACCCTCTCGATGGCCTGCTCAAAGTGCTTCTCCTGAACAGAAGGACTCAGATGCCAGGCGGCAATCAGAGCTGCCTCATTGCAAACAATGGAAATATCAGCACCTGACCCAGGAAGGGAGAAACAGGGACAGTCAGTGCTTCTCCTGGTGGCTGGAGCTTGACCCAGGTCAGCTTTGTTAAGGAACATCTCCAGCAGAGAGGCCAAGGCTGAACTTCAGTAGATAACTTGAAGGTAATGGAGCTGCTCCATCTGTCACCACTATCTAGCTACATTTTTTGAGAACCTTTATTAAAGCATAAGTTATATACCATAAAATCCACCCATTTTACATGTACACATCGACGATTTTTAATAAGCTTATCAAGGACTGCAACTATGGCCATAATCTAGTTTTAGAAACTTTCCATCATCTCTGTAAGGTACCCTCTACCTATTCAGTTAATCCCCTTTCCTCCTCTGGCAACCGCCCGTCTCACGTCTGTCCCCACAGATTTGCTATTCTATGTATCCCTGTTACTACTCTGCACATTTCAAATGAATGGAACTATGTCACATACAGCCTTTTGTGTCTAGCTTCCTGCACTGAGAACAGTATTTTCTAGGTTCACCCATGTGGCAGCGTGCATCCATGCTTTATTCCTTTTTTTTTTGAGATACAGTCTCCCTCTGTCGCACAGGCTGGAGTGCAGTGGTGCGCTATTAGCTCACTGCAACCTCCACCTCCTGGGTTCAAGCAATTCTCTGCCTCAGCCCCCGGAGCAGCTGGGACTACAGGTGCACACCTGTAACCATGCACCCAGCCTCATTTTTATATTTAAAAAAAAAATGAGATGGGGTTTTGCTATACCCAGCTAATGTTTTATGTTTTTATAGAGACAGGGTTTCACCATTGGCCAGACTGGTCTCAAACTCCCGAACTCATGATCTGCCCACTTCGGCCTCCCAGAGTGTTGGGATTATACGCGTGAGCCACCACACCCGGCCCATTTATTCCTTTTTATAGCTAAATTCAACTGCAGTATACGCCACTTTGCCCATTCACCTGCCGATAGACACTACAATGTTTCCATTGATGCAAAGCAGACTCATTCCTGCTGAGGGGCAGTCAGAGTCATCCCCAAGTCATCTCTACTCAGTCATCCCTGCTAAGACAATAGCTGAGGGATAGTGCTGTCATCTCTGCTGAGTCATCACTGCTGAGGGACAGTGCTGTCATCTCTGCTGAGTCATCTCTGCTGAGGGACAGTGCTGCCATCTCTGCTGAGTCATCACTGCTGAGGGACAGTGCCGCCATCTCTGCTGAGTCATCCCTGCTGAGGGGTAGTGTTGTCACCTCTGCTGAGTAGTCCATGCTGAGGGACAGTGCTGCCATCTCTGCTGAGTCATCCCTGCTGAGGGGTAGGGCTGTCACCTCTGCTGAGTCATCCCTGTTGAGGGACAGTGCTGCCATCTCTGCTGAGCCATCCCTGCTGAGGGGTAGTGCTGTCACTTCTGCTGAGTAATCCCTGCTGAGGAACAGTGTTATCTCTGCTGAGTCATCCTTACTGAGGGGCAGTGCCGAGTCATCCCTGCTGAGGGGAAGTGCCGAGTCAGAGTCATCCCTGCTGAGGGGCAGTGCTGAGTCATCCCTGCAGTCAGAGTCATCAGAGTCATTCCTGAATCATCTCTGCTGAGGGGAAGTGCTGAGTCAGAGTCATCCCTGCTGAGTCATCCCCCTCTAGGGGCAGAAGAAAGCAGTTTTGGTAGCATTCCAGCTTCTTATCTTTGGTATGTAAATAGACATCTGAAGTCAGCCAGAGAAGAGAACAAAAGAGAGGAAGCACATTTTGTGTCTAAAACAGATGACACACTTCATATGGCTGCCAGGCAAGAGCTTCTCACTCACCATCCTGCTCACTCACCATCCTGCAGCAGACAAACATGCAATTCTGTGTGTGAATACACCTGATCCCACACTAGGCAGGACACTGTGGGGAGGCCAGGGGACAGGTACCACCGGGGATGCCAAGGCAGCTGGAGGGGATGAGACACCACAGCAGAATATTCCAGGCGCAGAGGCAGCAGGTGGGGTGTAGGTCGGAGCCATGGCCAACAGCCACATAACCATGAGGTATTGAGGCAGAAAACAGCTGCGGAGCAGGGGAGAAGAGGACAGGAATCCCCCTGGAAAAGTCCCCACTCATTCCTGAGGGTGATCCTGCCCAGGCAGGGAAGCAGGTTTCCCAGCATAGACCGAGCTTTCATTAAAAAGACAAGACAAGGCCAGGCGCAGTGGCTCAAGCCTGTAATCCCAGCACTTTGGGAGGCCGAGGCGGGTGGATCACGAGGTCAAGAGATCGAGACCATCCTGGTCAACATGGTGAAACCCCGTCTCTACTAAAAATACAAAAAATTAGCTGGGCATGGTGGCATGTGCCTGTAATCCCAGCTACTCAGGAGGCTGAGGCGGGAGAATTGCCTGAACCCAGGAGGTGGAGGTTGCGGTGAGCCGAGATCGTGCCATTGCACTCCAGCCTGGGTAACAACAGCGAAACTCCGTCTCAAAAAAGAAAAAAAAAAAAGACAAGAGAAAAGCAAATGAGTTTCCCCAACAGGGAGGCCAAGCCCCAGGCGAAAACAGCTCAGAAAGCATCAGACTGGCAGATTCTCTCTGGGACATTACTGTCAGCTCTGCAGTAACACTCGCTAAGTCTGAATATAACTAAAACAAATTCACACGGGTACAAATTAGTTTTGGGGCAAAAAAAAAATGATCTGAGGTCTCTGAACACTGTCAACTTGTGAAAAGTCCTACAGACAAGGGTGAGTGCTGCCAGGAATTAATGGAATGGCGAGTCACCACCCCCATGACAGGAAGCAGAGCACACCCGGCTCCCACCACTCACCAGTGAAGCCTGGGGTGAGCGCTGCCAGCTTCCTCACCAGGGTGTCCTTCCTGAGGCTCTCATGCAGCTTCAGTGGGCGCAGGTGGACCTTAAAGATGGAGGACCTGCCTTTGATGTCAGGGAGGCCTAGTGAAAAAGAGACACGGGCTGTTGTGCATTCTGGGCCTTGAGAACAGTCACCACGGCCACATCCCATAACTGCAAGCACAGCCGCGACAGTCACCCACAACCACTTCCCAGAACACCAAGGACAGCCGCGACAGTCACCCACAACCACTTTCCAGAACACCAAGGACAGCCGGGACAGTCACCCACAACCACATCCCAGAATACCAAGGACAGCCGTGACAGTCACCCACAACCACTTCCCAGAACACCAAGCACAGCCGCGACAGTCACCCACAACCACTTCCCAGAACACCAAGCACAGCTGGGACAGTCACCCACAACCACTTCCCAGAACACCAAGGACAGCCGCGACAGTCACCCACAACCACTTCCCAGAACACCAAGGACAGCCGGGACAGTCACCCACAACCACTTCCCAGAACACCAAGCACAGCCGCGACAGTCACCCACAACCACTTCCCAGAACACCAAGGACAGCCGGGACAGTCACCCACAACCACTTCCCAGAACACCAAGCACAGCTGGGACAGTCACCCACAACCACATCCCAGAACTGCAAGGACAGCCGGGACAGTCACCCACAACCACATCCCAGAACACCAAGGACAGCCGGGACAGTCACCCACAACCACTTCCCAGAACACCAAGGACAGCCGGGACAGTCACCCACAACCACATCCCAGAACTGCAAGGACAGCCGGGACAGTCACCCACAACCACTTCCCAGAACTGCAAGGACAGCTGGGACAGTCACCCACAACCACTTCCCAGAACACCAAGCACAGCCGGGACAGTCACCCACAGCCACATCCCAGAACACCAAGGACAGCCGGGACAGTCACCCACAACCACATCCCAGAACACCAAGGACAGCCGGGACAGTCACCCACAACCACTTCCCAGAACACCAAGCACAGCCGGGACAGTCACCCACAGCCACATCCCAGAACACCAAGGACAGCCGGGACAGTCACCCACAACCACATCCCAGAACACCAAGGACAGCCGGGACAGTCACCCACAACCACATCCCAGAACACCAAGGACAGCCGGGACAGTCACCCACAACCACATCCCAGAACTGCAAGGACAGCTGGGACAGTCACCCACAACCACTTCCCAGAACTGCAAGGACAGCTGGGACAGTCACCCACAACCACTTCCCAGAACACCAAGGACAGCCGGGACAGTCACCCACAACCACTTCCCAGAACACCAAGGACAGCCGGGACAGTCACCCACAACCACTTCCCAGAACACCAAGGACAGCCGGGACAGTCACCCACAACCACTTCCCAGAACACCAAGGACAGCCGGGACAGTCACCCACAACCACTTCCCAGAACACCAAGGACAGCCGGGACAGTCACCCACAACCACATCCCAGAACTGCAAGGACAGCTGGGACAGTCACCCACAACCACATCCCAGAACTGCAAGGACAGCCGGGACAGTCACCCACAACCACATCCCAGAACTGCAAGGACAGCCGCGACAGTCACCCACAACCACATCCCAGAACACCAAGCACAGCCGGGACAGTCACCCACAACCACATCCCAGAACTGCAAGGACAGCTGGGACAGTCACCCACAACCACATCCCAGAACACCAAGGACAGCCGGGACAGTCACCCACAACCACATCCCAGAACACCAAGCACAGCCGGGACAGTCACCCACAACCACTTCCCAGAACACCAAGCACAGCCGGGACAGTCACCCACAACCACATCCCAGAACACCAAGCACAGCCGGGACAGTCACCCACAACCACATCCCAGAACTGCAAGGACAGCTGGGACAGTCACCCACAACCACATCCCAGAACACCAAGGACAGCCGGGACAGTCACCCACAACCACATCCCAGAACACCAAGCACAGCCGGGACAGTCACCACAACCACATCCCAGAACTGCAAGGACAGCTGGGACAGTCACCCACAACCACATCCCAGAACTGCAAGCACAGCCGGGACAGTCACCCACAACCACATCCCAGAACTGCAAGGACAGCTGGGACAGTCACCCACAACCACATCCCAGAACACCAAGGACAGCCGGGACAGTCACCCACAACCACATCCCAGAACTGCAAGGACAGCTGGGACAGTCACCCACAACCACATCCCAGAACTGCAAGGACAGCTGGGACAGTCACCCACAACCACATCCCAGAACTGCAAGGACAGCTGGGACAGTCACCCACAACCACATCCCAGAACTGCAAGGACAGCCGCGACAGTCACCCACAACCACATCCCAGAACACCAAGCACAGCCGGGACAGTCACCCACAACCACTTCCCAGAACACCAAGGACAGCTGGGATCCCTGTGGGGGTCTCTGCTGAACCCTCAACCCAGGGCCATGTGACCTGACAGCAAGCAGCACAAGGCCTGCCGCAGGCAGGGCACATGAGATTAATGCTTCCTAACGAACACAAGCAGGTAAGGGAAGGCATGAAGGCTGTCAGGCTGAAGAATAACAGATAAACTGCTGTCTTCTAAGTTCTCAGGATCAGCTACAAGCTCCGGCCACCTGTTTCTATTGTAGCAACAACCCTTCAGGCCCAGCCACATGGATTCTTCCCAAAAACCAGACTGCCAGCATCTCCACATTTTCAAAATGTTCCATTAACTGCTTCAGGATTACCATCAAAATCTCCTCCAAATACACGCAGATGACCTAACCAAACTTTTCAGCCCAGGGGAGACCGGCCCAACCCTGAGAAAGGTACACTCACCTATGTAAATCTGGCAGTCAAACCGGCCAGGCCGAATCAGGGCCGGGTCCAGGATGTCAGGGCGGTTGGTGCCGGCCAGCACCACAATGTTGGTGGCTGAGTTGAACCCTGGACACAGGAGAAGCAGGTAAGCCTACATGGCAAGCCTGATGTGTGCATGGCAGGTAACCAGCCAAGCCTCCGCAAACCGGGAACCCCACAGCCTGGCTCAGGAGGTAGACAAGTCCCAAAGCGTGGGTCCTCCTCATTCTGACTTACGAGCGGTTCCTGCAGCCTCTGATACCACTTGGTGCTGGAGTGGATGAGGGCAGGCCAAAGGCTACACAGGAGATGGCTGCCCAGCAGAGGGAAGAGGGGAGAAAAGCTGAGTGCCCCGCTTCCCTCCTCTCTCCAATCAGCACCCTCCAGGTATCAAAACAATCATAATCTAATGAGAATTACCGTTGGGTACTAGAGTCAAAAAAATATTTAGGAAATGCTTTTGACCTGTAGAGAAAAGTGTTACTAACACAGCAGGCCTGACTGCTGTCTTCAAAAAGGCCTGCTCACAAGGGCAATGTATGGGCAGTGTGATTGGGGAGCATTCCCACCATTCCCTGAGAACAACAGCTCCCTGTGCCCAAACCCTTTGTGCAAAGCCTGGTGCATGCCAGGCAGAGGGTGCCACAGCCCTGGCCCCCAGCGAAAACCCTGGCTTCCTTGTCAACATCTGGCACCTTGTCACAGCTTGCTGCTGGGGGAAGTGAGCGTGTCCCAGGTGGCTCCACTGGAGAACGGGTGCACACTGCACCTGGCCTCCCTGTGACCCAATTCGCCTTCTGCCCTGGCTGACTTTGCTGTGTCCTTTAACAGACATGAGTGTAACTACAGGCTGAGTGCTGTGACTTCTAGCAAGTCACCACATCGGGGGTGGTCTCAGGGACCTGAACACTGCCGTAAAGCCAAAGAGAAATCAAACCTGCCAGATGTCTACATGACAGTTCTCCCAAAGCTGAAAGCTGGCACAGACGCCTGGACGCACCAATAAGGCTTTAGCAGGACTGACAGGGGACCATCAGTCACATCTCAGCTAGACTCACTCTGGAGACAGGCCTGGGCAGTCTGTGAGATTCTGGGTGAGGCAGGGGCAGCGAGACAAGGCTCAGAGTGGAAGGAGCACCAGCTGTGTGCACACCACCCTGTGGGCACAGTCAGGAGCACCCATGCTTGTCTACCTGATCCCCCTCCCCAGAGAGGCAGCTGTCTCCCCACTCCAGAGAAACCCTTTCCATCTGGGGGCAGGGAAGTGCACTGCCCCTGCCTACCACAGGCACTGAAGGAGGTTTGTGAACCTAACAGCTTTCTCCATCACATGGGCCTGAGAGAAGCCTTCCTTAAAACGGATCAGGACTTCTCTTCTGGGGGTGACTTTAGAGGAAAAGGGCTGGTGCAGACAGTCGCTAAGCAGCTGTGGAGGAAGAGCTGCACAGCACAGGCTGGCTGCAGTCTGCACGCACCGTCCATCTCCACCGGCATCTGGTTCAAGGTGTTCTCCTGCTCACTCTGGCCTCCAAAGTGCCCTCGGCCTCGCTTCCTGCCAATCGCATCAATCTCATCAATGAATAAGATACACGGAGCATTTTTTCGGGCCATTGTGAACATATCATGCACCTGAATAGGGAATCCACACAGAGTCTGTTTTGCTACCGGCAGAAGACAGGAATGCTGGTTCTCTACCCTCTCCTCGGAAACCTCCGACCGATTCTGCCTGGGTGCACCAGCACCTCCCACAGGTGCCCACCACCAGGGCCCGACACCAAGCTATTCAAGTTGACCAGTCCTGGTCAAGCCACAGTGCTGAGGCTGCCTGCAGCAGTTCCATCCACCTACCCTTGCTGGCCCAACACTGACAAACATTTCCAGAAACTCCGACCCATTCACAGTGATGAAGGGCACACTGGCCTCCCCTGCAGCTGCTTTGGCAAGAAGTGTCTTGCCTGTACCAGGAGGACCAGTGAGCGTGGCTCCCTGAAAAGAACGAAGACAGCAGGTTCTTACCAGGGGAGCAGCTACTACACAGGACAGAGTGCAGGTTTCTGCTTAGCGTAGACTAGGAATTTGTTTTCCTCAGCAGGTGACTTCTGAGATTGACTAAGAAGAATCCCACCTTATAACCTGGGAGGTTTTTCTTTTTATTATTTTTTTCTGAGACAGAGTTTCACTCTTGTTACCCAGGCTGGAGTGCAATGGCACGATCTCAGCTCACAGCAACTTCCACCTCCCAGGTTCAGGTGATTCTCCTGCCTCGGCCTCCCAAGGAGTCAGGATTACAGGCACGCGCCACCACGCCTGGCTAATTTTTGTATTTTTAGAGACGAGGTTTCTCCATGTTTGTCAGGCTGGTCTTGAACTCCCAACCTCAGCTGAGCTGCAGGCCTTAGCCTCCCAAAGTGCTGGGATTACAGGCATGAGCCACAGCACCTGGCCATCCTGAGACTTTTTTTTAATCTTTGCTGCTGTTTTTTTTTTTTTGAGGTGGAGTCTTGCTCTGCCGCCCAGGCTGGAGTGCAGTGGCACAATCTAGGCTCATTGCTCTGCCACCCAGGCTGGAGTGCAGTGGCACGATCTAGGCTCACTGCAACATCCACCTCCCAGGTTCACCATGTTACCAGGATGGTCTCCATCTCTTGACTCCATGATCCACCCACCTCAGCCTCCCAAAGTGCTGGGATTACAGGCATGAGCCACCGCGCCCAGCCAATCTTTGTTGCTTTTAAAATTAATGCATATTTACCACAAAAAAGGTCAAACATTATAGAGATAATATAGAAAATGCAAACCTTCCTGTTCTGTACTCATGAGTCTGTTATTTCTGCAGGAAGAGATCCAGGGGTAGACTTGCTGGATCAAAGGTTCTGAATGTTTATTTATTTATTTAATTACTTACTTACTTATTTTTTAATTTATTTTTTTGAGACAGAGTCTCAATCTGTTGCCAGGCTAAAGTACAGTGGTGCAATCTCGGCTCACTGCAACCTCCGTCTCCTGGGTTCAAGTGATTCTTCTGCCTCAGCCTCCCAAGTAGCTGGGACTACAGGCATGCACCACCATGCCCGGCTAATTTTTATATTTTTAGTAGAGACGGGGTTTCACCATCTTGGCCAGGATGGTCTCCATCTCTTGACCTTGTAATCTACCCACCTCTGCCTCCCAAAGTGCTGGGATTATAGGTGTGAGCCACCGCACCCAGCCTGTATGTTTGTTTTCATGATTACTGTCAAAGTGTTCTCCAAAACAGTGATACTGATTCACACTCCCACAAGGAAGAAACAGCAGCCTGCCTCTCCAAATCCTTGGCCACAGAGAATGTGTTCAGCTCTGGGACCTTGCAGACCTGAAGGACAGAAACGCCACCTCATTCTCAAGCTGTCTCTTCAGCTGTTAAGACTGAGGATACGTTCGTGTTTACTGGCTGCTTTCTCTGCCTGTTTCTACTACGGCTTCACCAATTCACACCCCTGTATCACACCTGTTTCCTTTCTATGGATTATCGTTAGGCCTGAATATTGGGAGATATAAAAGGCATACCTGGATTGCTGTTTCTAGTCAAGGCTGAGGGCCAATATCTGACTATCTCAAAAGGGATCCTAAGGCTTTTGGGGATTTTTCTTAAGTGTTTAAGAAGAAAACAAAGAACATAAAGGTGAGAGGGGCCACGAAAGTCAAACCAATGCCAGTGTTGGAGCCCAAAACCCAGCACCGCTCTTCCGTGGCAGGGTGGGGCCTGACACATCTCAGCCCACTGTGGACAGTCGTAACACGCTACAGCAGGACGCCAAGTCTCCTGTGCCATCCCGGCTGACCTGAGAACATGCCAGAGGGCAGAAGGAGGCTAGACTCACCCACAGCACACTCCGTCCCACTCAGGTGCTCCAGGAAATTCACCCACCGTGACCACACACACAGCCACTCTTCATGATGGATTCTCACAGGGGGATGCCACAGGCAGTGGTGATTCTGGAAAATCACTGTACTTCATACCCAAGAAATGGAAAGCCAGATGGGTCCTGACCACACTAACTCTTTCCTGACATCCACAGCACAGCACAAGGCCTGTGACATGACACTGGCTGACAGAGCCCCCTCTCGCAACAAGGGCCCATGCCTACTGGGAGAAAGGGACCAACACGCCACGTGAGGGGCCTTCCCTGGTACCTGACTGCCTCACGCACTCCCTCGATTACACAGATTTTCCCCAGCAACTATATGCATATGAAAAAAAAATGTAATAGACATAAATTTAAAAACAAAAAAACAAAAAAACGGGCGCAGTGGCTCACGCCTGTGATCCCAGCACTTTGGGAGGCCACGGCGGGTCACCTGAGGTCAGGAGATCAAGACCATCCTGGCCCACATGGTAAAACCCCATCTCTACTAAAATTAGAAAAATTAGCCAGGCACGGTGACATGCACCTGTAATCCCAACCACTCAGGAGCCCAAGGCAGGAGAATCACTTGAACCCAGGAGGTGGAGGTTGCAGTGAGCCAAGATCGCACCACTGCACTCTAGTCTGGGCAACAGAACAAGACTCTGTCTCCAAAAAAAAAAAAAAAAAAAAAAAAATTCTGAAAGGCAAAGAGAACCACACACTGCGGCGCCTGACTATGAGCAGAGGCAAGTGGCAGCTGCCAGTAGGGCTCCACAGGAGCAGGAGGCCCCAGCTCTGCAAGTCCGTCACACACACCAGCTTCCCGGCCTCATGCTCACCAAGGCAGAACACAAGTCTGTGACCTCCTGGCTTCACCTAGGTTCACAGTGCTTGGTGTAAGGATTATCTGTTGTTTGGAACAAACGTCCCAGTGAATACCACCCCATGGAGAGGGGCTTGCGGGGGATGGACAAGGCCACCGCCAGGATCTGGCTGTCCTCAGCCTGGTCAAAGCCCAGAGACGACTTGAAGAGTCTGTGAATCAAGTTTCTGTGAATTCAAGTATTTCTTGGAAAAAACGCCATGGCTTCTGTCAGGACCCACAAAGAGTCATGACCCCAAAATGGCACCAAGAGATAAACTCGCCTTGGGTCCAGAAGCCAGAACCACCACCCTGACCCACAGCACCCGCAACGCGCTGGCTGGCTGGCTGCACACACTAGCCACTGGCCGGGTAGTGGGCCTTCCAAAAGGCCCTACATCTGGTCCCAAGCCTGTTCATGCAGCTGCACCTGCTGCTTCATGTCATTACTATAAAGTAATAAAACATGAGTGAGAAGCAACTGTGACCCACAGCCATCTTTGGCTTTTACTTGAAGCTCAGGATATTACTATGTTTTCTCAAACCAATACCTTTGGAATTTTTGCTCCTAAGTCCTGATACTGCTTGGGATTCTTCAGGAAATTCACAAATTCCATAATTTCCAATCTGGCTTCTTCGCAACCAGCTACGTCTGCGAACCGCACATCGATGTTGCTCTTTAAGACCCTGGCTGTTGTCTCACCGACGCTGAAGAGGCCCCGTCCTCGTCCACTAGGGCCAGCTCCCATCGGGCCCCTCCTGGAAGCATAGAGGAGAACTCCAACCAGGAGAAGCGTGGGCACCAGGCTTCGCAAGAAAGAGCTAGAAAATCCAAGAGAACTACTCATCATGCTCAGATCAGAAATAGCACCCTCCTGCCAGGCATGGTGGCTCACATCTGTAATCCCAGCACTTTGGGAGGCTGTGGTGTGAGAATCTCTTGAGCCCAGAAATTCAAAACCAGCCTGGACAACATGGCAAGACCCCATCTGTACAAGAAATACAATGGCCGGGCGCAGTGACTCACACCTGCAATCCCAGCACTTTGGGAGGCAGAGGCAGGTGGATCACCTGAGGTTAGGAGTTCAAGGCAAGCCTAACCAACAGGGTGAAACACCATCTCTACTAAAAATACAAAAGTTAGCCGGGCGTGGTGGCGTGTGCCTGTAATCCCAGCTACTCAGGAGGCTGAGGTGAGAAGGCTGCAGTGAGCCATGATTACACAACTGCACTCCAGCCCGGCTGACAAAGCAAAACTCTCTTTCAGAACAGACCACTCTAGGACTTTGTTTTGCTACACAAAAGGAAGCATGTTTTTTTCCATGTGTGTGTGTGTGCGCGTGCATCCATGTGTGTGTGTATGGGTCCATGCGTGTGTGCACGTGTCCATGCGTGTGCATCTATGCGTGTGTGCGTCCGTGTGTGCGCGTCCATGTGTGTGTGCACGTGTCCATGTGTGTGTGCATCTATGCATGTGTGTGCGTCCGTGCGCACGCATCCATGTGTGTGTATACGTCCATGTGTGTGTGTACACGTCCATGCGTGTGCATCTATGCGTGTGTGCGTCCGTGTGTGCGTGTCCATGCGTGTGCGTCCGTGTGCGCTTGTCCATGCATGTGTGTGCGCGTCCATGCGTGTGTGTGCATCTATGCATGTGTGTGCGCGTCCATGCGTGCGTGCATCTGTGTGTGCGCGCATCCATGCATGTGTGTGCATCTATGCGTGTGCACGCGTCCATGCATATCTATGCGTGTGTGTGCATCCGTGTGTGCGCGTCCATACGTGTGTGCGTCCATGTGTGTGTGCACGCGTCCATGCGTGTGTGTTTGTTCAATTCTATTTATTCATTTTTGAGATGGAGGCTTGCTTCAAGCAATTCTCCCACCTCATCCTCTGGAGTAGCTGGGACTACAGGCACGTGCCACCACGACCAGCTGATTTTTATATTTTTAGTAGAGACAGGGTTTCACCATGTTGACCAGGCTGGTCTTGAACCCCTGACCTCAAGTGATCCGCCCACCTTGGCCTCCCAAAGTGCTGGGATTACAGGCGTGAGCCACCACGCCCAGCCTGCTTTTTTTTTTTTTTTTGAGATAGGGTCTCACTGTCCCCTAGGCTGGTGGGCAGTGGCATACTCTCAGTAACCTTGAACTCCCAGGCTCAAGCGATTCTCCTGCCTCAACCTCCTGAGTACCTAGAACCAAAGGCATGCGTCCCATCACACAAGGTAATTTTTTAAGTTTTTAAAGACACAGTCTCACTATGTTGTCCAGGCTGGTCTTGAATTTCTAGCCTTAAGCAATCCTCCCTCCTCGGACTCCCAAAGCACTGGGATTACCTCTGTGAGCCATCATAGCAACTGTCTTTTTTTTTTTTTAGACGGAGTTTCGCTCTTGTTACCCAGACTGGAGTGCAATGACGTGATCTCGGCTCACTACAATCTCCGCCTCCTGGGTTCAGGCAATTCTCCCACCTCAGCCTCCTGAGTAGCTGGGATTACAGGCACGCGCCACCGTGCCCAGCTGAGTTTTTGTATTTTTAGTAGAGACGGGGTTTCACCATGTTGACCAGGATGGTCTCGATCTCTTGACCTCGTGATCCACTGGCCTCGGCCTCCCAAAGTGCTGGGATTACAGGCGTGAGCCACCGCACCCGGCTGTCTTTTTTTGAAATGTGTCAAAGTCCACCTAGCACGAGGCCCCTCCAGTTCTGAAGGCTGTGGTCAAAGGCATTTGTCTCCCTGATGTAACCTGTGGCTGGTTTGATAGGATAGCGAGGGTGACCAGTTCCACCGTCCACCCCCTCTACCTGGCCAAGCAGCTCTGAGGGAGCTTTCCCTCCCTTAGGAGGTACCCCCAGCAGACCCAGCAAGGCCTCCTCACGCCAGCCAGGCTCGTTCCTTAACAGGAAGACACCAAATGTCTTCCTGTTTTATTTATCCTTTTTCTTGCTCTTCAGAGGCTTGGGGCCCTACATGCAACCAAGCATTCCTGGCAACTGGACAAGCAAAGACAAAACGAAAGTCAGCCATACACAGCACCCAGGTGACTTCCAAGAGCTCCAGCAGGAGACCGCAGTGTACTTCAGGCCTTGCCATTGGAGTCTGAGAATCAGTCACCAGAATTCTACCTGCCTCACCTTCTCTCACCCCACTGCAACCCCTACTCTGCACTTAAATGTACATCTCAAAGAAACCAGCCGAACTGCTACAATTCCCATTTTTACCCTGTCCTGGCTAAAGCTGGTGCTTGGCCTTGCACTCGGGGTTCAGTTTCCAGTTCAGGGCAGAAGGGCAGGAGAAGACTGAGCAACGACATCCCCAGGGAGTCAGCATGCCAACAGGATCCAGGCTTAGCAACACTGACTTCTGTGCTGAGTCCTGGGATGCACGGAGTACTTCATCTGGTCTTTGCTCTCGTGTCTGTCATCACTTTAAAAACATATGACGCAGTGGAAACCCAGGTTAACTAAGAGCCGTGGGAAGCTTGGCGTGACCGAGCATCGGGCACCATATGGAGCTGCAGGGTTGTGTGCAGGGACCCCCAGCACCTGGGAGGACAGGGCAGGGCTGCCCAGCAGGGAGCCTGGTGAAGTCACAGGAGCACAAGCCCCACCTCTGCACGCTAATTCAACAGTTCTGCAGGAGTGGCAGGTAGAAACGACGGTAGGGCTTCCTGACAGGGCTCTCCCGGGGATCCCACTGCAGGGCCCTCTCGGGGATCCCACTGCAGGGCCCAATTCTGGAAGCTCCCTACAGGACGTCAGGGATTTCGTGCTCTAGCGACGACATCCAACGTCTGCTTTTCTTTTTTAAGGCTGCCTCGCCAAGTATTTCCCTGCTCCAATTCTCTTCTCATGAAAGACAGAGTTAAAAACACATATATATAAAGCACATACATATTTCTCACTACAGACATCGTAAATAATAGCAGATGCCCATATATGCTTGAGAAACGCATTCCAAAGCAGGTTAAATACTGCATTTCTGCTCTGTGTTCAGACAGGCTCTTTCCCACCATCCTTACCCATCGCTCTCAGTGGTGTAGACCACCGCCGCCTGGTTGTGGGGCTCGATCCCCAGCTTCCACTAGGCAGACTCCAGGTTCCACTCAAAGGTGTCAACACTGCCGATGTTAAACCACACGTACTTCTGCAGAGACCAAGAGCAAGTTTAGGGTACACCACTGCGCCCCACGCTGAACCTGCCCTCACACATGCGCCTCCCACAGCCCCTTCTCGTAGCCTTCATCTCCATAACATGCACAAGACCTATGCCAAGGCTAGTTCCAAAGGAAACTCTACTAACAGCAGAGGACCCTCTGGTTCTGACCCCATGAAGTTACAGTCTTTACATTCTAGATCAAAGTGTAAACTGTGCAACAACTGCTGAGGTGTGCCTTTGTCTCCTTTTCTTTCTTTTATTTTGAGACAGAGTCTCACTCTATCACTCAGACTGGAGTGCAGTGGGATGATCTCAGCTCACTGTAACCTCCACCTTCTGGGTTCAAGCAATTCTCATGCCCCATCCTCCTGAGCAGCTGAAAGTACAGGCACAGGTCACCATGACCAGCTAACTATTATATTTTTAGTAGAGACGGGTTTCACCATGTTGGCCAGGCTAGTCGTGAACTCCTGGCCTCAGGTAATCCACCTGCCTCAGCCTCCCAAAGTGCTGGCATTACAGGTTTGAGCCACCACGCCCAGCTGTCCCTTTTTTCTTTGTCTCTTCTCTCCCCCTAGTCCTTGATGAGTTGTTCTTATACATTGCATGGCAAATCTGAATCCTAGTTATAGTCTCATGAGGACTGTCCTACTTGGAAGACTTTATTATTGACATGTGCCAATGAGAAAAACATCACAATGAGAAGTTGATGGATACTAAGGAGATATTTTACTGAAGAAACAGAAAACTACATTTTTACATTAAATAAACTTATGTCTGAAATACTAAGCCTTAAACCCACCCTCACCTCAGAGGAGGTCCCAGGGGCAGGAATAACACGCACAGATTGTTCACGACTTCTAGCCAGTCCACCTGGGAAGAAGAGAAAAATTATCAGCACAACTGAAGCAGTGAGTATGACACTCAACAGCAAACCACGGGCCTCATCCTGAGACCAGTCCCACAGCGCAGACCTGGCTCCAGCAGCGGCCAAGCGGCTGTATCCACTCTGCTGTGCAGATTCGAGTTTTGTTTTCTGATTACTTTGGACATTTCTAGCCTGGCCTGTGCATGTAATTGAAGAAGAGGAGTTACAGTTTGGTACATCTGAACACCAAAGACTCCAGAGTAACTTAAAAATCTATAAGAAAGGCCAGGCATAGTGGCTCAGACCTATAATCCCAGCACTTAGGGAGGCTGAGGAGGGTGAATCACTTGAGGCTAGGAGTTAGAGACCAGACCGGCCAATGTGGTGAAACCCCACCTCTACTAAAAATGCAAAAATTAGCCAGACATGGTGGCATGTGCCTGCAGTCCCAGCTACTCAGAAGGCATAGGCAGGGAGAACTGCTTCAACCTGCAAGGCGGAGGTAGCAGTGAGCCAAGATTGTACACTGTACTCCAGTCTGGGCAACAGAGTGAGACTCCATCTCAAAAAAAAACAACTCTAAAAGGAGTATAAGTCTCAGAGTATCAATACAGCCAAGTCTTACAGAACTGACCCAGAAACATTCTGTCCAGCTGCAGGTGCCAGAAGAAAAGGGTGCCAACAAGAACGAAAATGCAGCCCCAAAGGCCTCCATTCAGCCACCCAGCAGAAAACACAGCCTGAGAGCCGGGTGCAGGAAACACACAATTTGAGGATGCAGCCATTTCTTGACGTATAATGACCACAGTGCTGCTCTTTCTGCTCTCCACAGAATCTGAAACCACTACAACACACTTTTCTTGGAAATTAATGATTACTCAGGGTCATACGACGAACATGAACATGCTCATGACAGGTGCCTCTTGACCGTAACACCATGAGCACGTCATGGTCAGCACGTCAGACACCTGGAGAGGAATCACAGGAGCTCTGAGATCTGTCCAGAACCCAGGCACCAACAAGCATCTTGGGCCAATGGATCTGCCTCAGCCCTCCTCCTCACAGCAGGAGCTGTGCGTGGCACAGCAACAGCAGAGAGGGGTGCAGCAGCCCTCCCCTCCTCCTGTGAGGAGTCGTCAGGGACATCTCTGAAGACAGGCACGTGCCCTGAGGCCAGACAAAAAGGCCTTTCGTGGTGGTTCATAATCGCGATCACAGCACTTCAGGAGGCCAAAGTAGGAGCATTATCTGAGCCCAGGAGTTTGAGACCAGCCTGGGCAACATAAGGAGATCCTATCTCTAAAAACGAAATTACGTTTTTTACAGTACCAGCTACTCAGAAGGCTGAGGTGGGAGGCTGACTTCAGACTGGAAGGTCGAGGCTGCAGTGAGATGACTTCACGCCACTGCACTCTAGCCTGGGCAATAGAGCAAGACCCTATCTCAAAAAAAAAAAGGCCCTGGCCACAAACCTTGGTGGAAAAACAAGACTTTCCTATAGAAAGAAGTTCAGATCTTAACAGCACATCACTTAGCATGCATCTTTCTGAGGTGACTGAGAAACACGGCACTTGCTCTTGTGTAACTTGATGCTAAAGCCTGAGCGGTGGTTCGGCAGACTCCAGCCCCCTGACAGACCCATGCCCGGTGACGGACAGGTGCCACATGCCCCTGTGCACAACACAAAGACCCAGCTGCTGTCCAGAGCCAGCCTGCAGGGGACAGGGGTGCACTGGGCAGAGAAAAGATCTGAATTAGACATGAGTTTGACACTCGACGATAAACGGACCATCAGAACTTATTCACAGAAGCCGAAGCCAAAAAAAATAAAAAGGCCAAGATGCTAAGGAAGCTTCCACCTTGCAAGAAAATGAGCTTCGTAACCTCTGGGAAAATAACACTATGTCTCTTCTCTGACCTGAGGGTGGGACTGTCCAGGACATCCATCACACAACACATTTTCAACACAGGGATCAGAGCTCACAGCTTCTTTAGGGCGTCGCAGACCACACACACAGGGGCGCACCACTACAGCAGCCCCCTTCCCGCTAGATAAACTGTCAATTCCTCTCACCAGACCTCTGGCCAAGATTGTACAAAATGCTTCCAAGTGATTTCTCTTCCAGGATCTCGAAAATAGAGGTAGAACAATCCCCTGGCAACACCGGCCCCCAAAAAGGTCAGACCGCGGAAATCCTTGTCATCCCAGGGGAAGCTCCCTGTGGAAAAAAGAAAACACGTTTTCCAGTCAAATGAAGGGAGTTTCTTCATGAAAACAGCTATTTCCTTTTTCAGATGTTATTAGAGAAGACCCTCCCCTCCTCACCCTACACAACGTAGCCTCAGTCCCTCTCATGAGGAAAGAATGTCCACGTGGTGTATAAAACACACCCACAGCTGCAGTTCCCTAGATGCCCCAGGAGAAGCAGAAAGTCCACAGAGAGCGCTATGTTTGAGCCACTGCTGCTCCCGAGTCTTTTAAAATCCAGATAGAGGACAGACATGGTGGCTCACGTCTGTAGTCCCAGAACTTAAGGAGGCCGAGGTGAGAGGATTGCTTGAGCCCAAGAGTTCAAGACCAGCCTGGGCAACACAGGGAGACCCCGTATCTACAGAAAAAAAAAATTAGCCAGGAGTGGTGGTGCAAGCCTGTGGTCTCAGCTGCTTCTGAGGTAGAGGTGAGAGAATCACCTGAGCCACGGAGGTCAAGGCTACAGTGAACAGTGATCACATCAATGCACTCCAGCCTGGATGACAGAATGAGACCCTATCTCAAAATCACAATAATAAAATCCAGATAGACATCTCAGCACATTTTTTAAAATTCATTTTATTTATTTATTTTTTTGAGACAGGGTCACCCAGGCTGGAGTGCAGTGGCATGATCATGGTTCACTGCAACCTCAACCTCCCAGGCTCAGGCAATCCTGCCTCAGTCTCCTGAGTAGCTGGGACCAGAGGTGCACACCACTGTGCCTACCTAATTTTTTTATTTTTTATTTTGTAGAGACGAGGTCTCACTATGTTGCCCAGGCTAGTCTTGAACTCCTAAGCTCACTTCGGCCTCCCAAAGTGCTAGGATTATTGGCATGAGCCACTGCACCCGGCCTCAGTATACTTTTAGAAGTTAATCTCTTTGAAACTTATCAACTAATTCAACAGTTCACCCTTAAACAAGCAGAAAGATTGATAATGGATTTGAATTTACGTGTTCTCCCAAAATTTCACTGTTGGAACTCAACCCCTAAGGTGAAGATATTAGGAGGCGGGGCCCCCGGGAGGCATCAGGTCCCAAGGGCTCTGCATCACAAGTGGTATTAGTGCCCTCACAGTCCGTCAACCAGGTTGCAGTGCAGTGGCGTGATCGTGGCTCACTGCAGCCTCCACTCCCAGGTTGATGCGATCCTCCTGCCTGAGCCTCCTGAATAGCTGGGACTACAGGCATGCACCATGATGGCCAGCTAATTTTTCTATTTTTTTTTTTTTTTTTTTTTTTTTGAGATGGAGTCTTGCTCTGTTGCCAGGCTGGAGTACAGTCGTACAACCTCGGCTCACTCCAACCTCCGCCTCCCAGGTTCAAGCAATTCCCCTGCCTCAGTCTCCCAAGTAGCTGGGATTACAGGTGTGAGCCACCGCGCCTGGTCTGACTTTTATATTTTTTGTAGAGACGGGGTTTCACCATGTTGTACAGGCTATGATCTTGGACCTCCGGCTTCCACAACTGTGAGTAGTAAATTTACCCTGTTTATAAATTACCCAGTCTGAGGTATTCCATTACAGCAGCAGGAGCAGACTAAGATGCACACAACCCTTCTGCATCCGCCTCCACCAGGCAAAGCCACCGCGCGTGCCTCCTCTCCTGCCTCCATCACCTCCAGGCCCAGCGTTCTTCAGCTTACCAGTTTCTGAGAGAAAACAAACTCTGACTTCAAAAAGCAATTACATGTAATTTTCTGGAGAAAGAGGATTCAGAAAACAGAAAAACGCTTTCTATCACACAACTGTAGTAACACCAGTGCCTTAGAGAACAGGAAAAAGATGAGGCTAGGGAAATACTGCTGAGAAGTAGCTTCAGATACATCTAAAACCCCTAAAATTTCACCTCGCAGGCTTCATATTGAGCTTTAGCAGCAAACTTTTTTGAGGTGACAGTCCCAAAATCGCCTGTAACTAGGGTAAAGAAAGAAAAGAAGAAAATGATAAGGCAGACTGGTATGGGTGCTCCCCCTTCTCAAGAGAACCAGGGAACACACGCCACCTGTTCTAAGCAGAGTCTGCCACTCCTGTGAAAAATCTGGCCTCCTACATACACGTGTGACCCACAGAACTCCTGGCCTCTTCCTGTAACGTTCACACAAGTTTCAGGACAAATAAGCCATGACACTGTCCCCTTCAAACACAGTGCCACTCCAATGACCCCAAAATAACACTATGAAAGGCCAGAGAAGTGACCCCAGGAATAGCAAACATATTGCAAGATGGAGTAAAACTTTGCACAAATTTAAGGACAAACAGGAGTCTTCAAAGAAACATTCCTTTCATAGCAGGGCAAGTCACCACACCTCCCAATATGCTTTTACCTGCTTTCCCTCTCCATGCTCATAGGTACCCAAGCAGGAAAGATTTCACACGGGAAACACAAAATACCAACTTCGCCAATCCCAAAACCCACACGGTGATAAAATTATTAAATGTCAAGGCTTAGAATCTAAACCAGTTAAAAAGGTGCTAAGAGATGAAAACAAAAAACAAGGTAGCTTGAGAAGGATGGGTAATAGCCAGGAGCAAGCAGAGAGAAGACAGCGCCAACATCACACTCACAGGCCACTGTGCACACCCAGGAGCAAGCAGAGAGAAGACAGCGCCAACATCACACTCACAGGCCACTGTGCACACCCAGGAGCAAGCAGAGAGAAGACAGCACCAACATCACACACTCACAGGCCACTACTCACACCCAGGAGCAAGCAGAGGGAAGACAGCACCAACATCACACACTCACAGGCCACCACTCACACCCAGGAGCAAGCAGAGGGAAGACAGCGCCAACATCACACACTCACAGGCCCACCACACACACCCAGGAGCAAGCAGAGAGAAGACAGCGCCAACATCACACACTCACAGGCCCACCACACACACCCAGGAGCAAGCAGAGGGAAGACAGCACCAACATCACATACTCACAGGCCCACCACACACACCCAGGAGCAAGCAGAGGGAAGACAGCACCAACATCACATACTCACAGGCCACCACTCACACCCAGGAGCAAGCAGAGGGAAGACAGCACCAACATCACACACTCACAGGCCACCACTCACACCCCAGGAGCAAGCAGAGGAAGACAGCGCCAACATCACACACTCACAGGCCCACCACACACACCCAGGAGCAAGCAGAGAGAAGACAGCGCCAACATCACACACTCACAGGCCACCACACACACCCAGGAGCAAGCAGAGGGAAGACAGCACCAACATCACACACTCACAGGCCACCACACACACCCAGGAGCAAGCAGAGGGAAGACAGCACCAACATCACACACTCACAGGCCACCACTCACACCCAGGAGCAAGCAGAGGGAAGACAGCACCAACATCACACACTCACAGGCCACCACTCACACCCAGGAGCAAGCAGAGGGAAGACAGCGCCAACATCACACACTCACAGGCCCACCACACACACCCAGGAGCAAGCAGAGAGAAGACAGCACCAACATCACACACTCACAGGCCACCGCTCACACCCAGGAGCAAGCAGAGAGAAGACAGCACCAACATCACACTCACAGGCCACCGCTCACACCCAGGAGCAAGCAGAGAGAAGACAGTACCAACATCACACACTCACAGGCCCCCGCTCACACCCAGGAGCAAGCAGAGAAGACAGCACCAACATCACACACTCACAGGCCACCACTCACACCCAGGAGCAAGCAGAGAGAAGACAGCACCAACATCACACTCACAGGCCACCGTGCACACCCAGGAGCAAGCAGAGAGAAGACAGCACCAACATCACACTCACAGGCCACCGTGCACACCCAGGAGCAAGCAGAGAGAAGACAGCGCCAACATCACACACTCACAGGCCACCGCTCACACCCAGGAGCAAGCAGAGAGAAGACAGCACCAACATCACACTCACAGGCCACCGTGCACACCCAGGAGCAAGCAGAGAGAAGACAGCGCCAACATCACACTCACAGGCCACCGTGCACACCCAGGAGCAAGCAGAGAGAAGACAGCACCAACATCACACACTCACAGGCCCACCGTGCACACCCAGGAGCAAGCAGAGAGAAGACAGCACCAACATCACACACTCACAGGCCACCGCTCACACCCAGGAGCAAGCAGAGAGAAGACAGCACCAACATCACACACTCACAGGCCACCGTGCACACCCAGGAGCAAGCAGAGAGAAGACAGCACCAACATCACACACTCACAGGCCACCGCTCACACCCAGGAGCAAGCAGAGAGAAAACAGCGCCAACATCACACACTCACAGGCCACCACACACACCCAGGAGCAAGCAGAGAGAAGACAGCACCAACATCACACTCACAGGCCCACCACACACACCCAGGAGCAAGCAGAGAGAAGACAGCACCAACATCACACTCACAGGCCACCGTGCACACCCAGGAGCAAGCAGAGAGAAGACAGCGCCAACATCACACACTCACAGGCCACCGCTCACACCCAGGAGCAAGCAGAGAGAAGACAGCACCAACATCACACTCACAGGCCACCGTGCACACCCAGGAGCAAGCAGAGAGAAGACAGCACCAACATCACACACTCACAGGCCACCGCTCACACCCAGGAGCAAGCAGAGAGAAGACAGCACCAACATCACACACTCACAGGCCACCGCTCACACCCAGGAGCAAGCAGAGAGAAGACAGCGCCAACATCACACACTCACAGGCCACCACACACACCCAGGAGCAAGCAGAGAGAAGACAGCACCAACATCACACACTCACAGGCCACCGCTCACACCCAGGAGCAAGCAGAGAGAAGACAGCACCAACATCACACTCACAGGCCACCGTGCACACCCAGGAGCAAGCAGAGAGAAGACAGCGCCAACATCACACACTCACAGGCCACTGCTCACACCCAGGAGCAAGCAGAGGGAAGACGGCGCCAACATCACACACTCACAGGCCACTGCTCACACCCAGGAGCAAGCAGAGGGAAGACGGCGCCAACATCACACACTCACAGGCCACCGCTCATCGGTTCCCAAGTTCAGCCCACGCAGGAAATGCTTTAAAAGTACTCCAATGTAAAACTTCAGTCTGATTTTTCAAACCGGCCCTTTTAACTTTTTTTGGAGCTGTTGATTTTTCTGAGTTTGTGTTTCTTCCACTCCTCTTAAAGTATTTCTCAAACCCTTAGGGACAAAAGGATGAGGTTCTAGTATTTTAATTCTTTTTTGAGATGGAGTCTCAGTTTGTCGCCCAGGCTGGAGCGCAGTGGCACAATCTCGGCTCACTGCAACCTCCGCCTTCTGGGTTCAAGGAACTCTCCTGCCTCGGCCTCCCGAGTAGCTGGGATTACAGGCACCTGCCACTATGCCCAGCTAATTTTTGTACTTTTAGTAGAGACAGGGTTTTACCATGTTGCCCAGGTTGATCTCGAACTCCTGACCTCAGGTGATCTGCCCTCCTTGGCCTCCCAAAGTGCTAGGATTACAGGCGTGAGCCACTGTGCCCGACCCAGTTCTAATATTTTAGAAGAAAGAATCACACTAAGAAAAGCAACCATACTGTCAAGTCGATATGGAGAAAGTGAGAGGCCAGTTTTCCCTGGTCTCATCTTCTTGCTTCATACAATCAGCATGTGCCCCCAGGTCCTCACATTGAGGCAAGTGTGGGGAACGCCTTCTACTCTGTGGGGACATAGGGTCTCCAGGGACTTCGGAGGACACTGTCCCTGGACACAAAGCACAGGCCCACGGCCTACAGAAGGACTGCAAGCAGGCAAGTGTGTTCTAAGGTAACGACGGTCTGTCATCGTTTCTGTTTGCTTTCCAAACACAAGGCTTAGCTGGTCCTCAGAATCAGACACACAGAAACCAAGGTTGGCTCTCACGCCTTCCAAAAGACTCATCTAGCACCTTCCTTTGTAAAGTTTTTCTCTCACCAGCTTTATTGAGAGATCAACAACATAAAGACATGGAGAAGGTGGTGGATGTTGCACGGCTCAATACGGAAGCCAGAAAGGGGTAGCAGGGGGCGGGGTGGAGTGGGGGCTACCCTGAGTTGTTTTGCTTCTTGCCCCCGGTCACTCACTGTGGAAGTTCCTGTAAACCTCATGCTGCTAATGATAGTGGATGAAGAAAAGTACCTTTGGGTTTCAAACAGAGCCACCGGGAAAATAACGTCAGTCTGGCCTGCAGAGTCGGCTTCTGAAAGTGGACCCTCTGGAGGCACTGAAACAAGAGACCAGAGTAGCTTATCAGCTTCTTCTGCAATACAAAGCTGCACATTCTCACTGACCACTACCGCTGGGAGGAGCAGGATGCAGGCTGAGGTGTGAGATGACTGCTGCGCATTCTCACTGACCACTACCGCTGGAAGGAGCAGGACGCAGGCTGAGGTGTGAGATCACTGCTGCGCATTCTCACTGACCACTCCCGCTGGAAGGAGCAGGACGCAGGCTGAGGTGTGAGATGACTGCTGCACATTCTCACTGACCACTACCGCTGGGAGGAGCAGGACGCAGGCTGAGGTGTGAGATGACTGCTGCGCATTCTCACTGACCACTACCGCTGGAAGGAGCAGGATGCAGGCTGAGGTGTGAGATCACTGCTGCACATTCTCACTGACCACTACCGCTGGGAGGAGCAGGATGCAGGCTGAGGTGTGAGGTGACTGCTGCGCATTCTCACTGACCACTACCGCTGGGAGGAGCAGGATGCAGGCTGAGGTGTGAGATGACTGCTGCGCATTCTCACTGACCACTACCGCTGGAAGGAGCAGGATGCAGGCTGAGGTGTGAGATGACTGCTGCACATTCTCACTGAGCACTACCACTGGGAGGAGCAGGACGCAGGCTGAGGTGTGAGATCACTGCTTTAAATATCCCATTAGAAATACAGTTCCACAGACTAAAAGGAACAATTCACTGCAGAAATGCACTGCAAATTTTTATAACTGTAGCCTCCAACAGCAAGTAAAAAGCGCCCCAAAAAACAAAACAAAAAAACATGTCTTAGAAACTGAGGCAATTTTAGTAACTTAAAATAGTGCAGCTTCAAAAACGTGACTACACAACTAAAACATAAATTTGTGTAAAATTTAAATACACAAATATACTATGACTCATCTCTGGTCAACCAAGAAGTTAATTTCTTTTTTGTTTTTGAGATGGAGTTTTGCTGTCACCCAGGCTGGAGTGCAGTGGTGCAATCTCGGCTCACTGCAACCTCTGCCTCCCAGGTTCAGACGATTCTCCTGCCTCAGCCTCCCAAGTAGCTGGGACTACAAGACAACCACCATGATGCCCAGCTAATTTTTATATTTTAGTAGAGACTAAATATAAAATATTTACCCATGTTGCCCAGGCTGATCTCAAACTCCTGACCTCAGGTAATCCACCCGCCTCAGCCTCCCAAAGTGCTGGGATGGCAGGCGTGAGTCACCGTAATTGGCCTTTTCTTTTTTGTTCTTTAAATGGGGTCTCACTGGAGTGCAGAGGCTATTCACAGCACAGATTACAGGCAGGTAATACAGCATCCAAGAAGAGGTAAATATTTTTGTCAAGCCAAGAAAACAATTTATCCAGGCATCCTTTATTTTCTTCAGTCTTCAAGGAGGAAAAGGTCAGCCAGGCACTGTAATCCCAGCACTTTGGGAGGCCGAGGCAGGCAGATCACTTGAGGTCAGGAGTTCAAGAGCAGCCTGGCCAACATGGTGAAACCCCTGTCTCTAGTAAAAATACAAAAATCAGCCAGACGTGGAGGCAGGCACCTGCAATCCCAATCACTCAGGAGGCTGAGGCAGGAGAATCCCTTGAAACCAGGAGGTGAAGGTTGCAGTGAGCTGAGATTGCACCACTGCACTTCAAAATGGGCGTCAGAGCGAAACTCCCTCTCAAAAAGTAAAAAAAAAAAAGCCATTACAACAAAAACACTGCAATAAAAGTAAACGTATTAAAAAACAAAATCAGGCCGGGCATGGTGACTCAAGCCTGTAATCCCAGCACTTTGGGAGGCCGAGATGGGTGGATCATGAGGTCAACAGATCAAGACCATCCTGGTCAACATGGTGAAACCCCGTCTCTACTAAAAATACAAAAAATTAGCTGGGCATGGTGGCGCGTGCCTGTAATCCCAGCTACTCAGGAGGCTGAGGTAGGAGAATTGCCTGAACCCAGGAGGCGGAGGTTGCAGTGAGCCGAGATCGCGCCATTGCACTCCAGCCTGGGTAACAAGAGCGAAACTCCGTCTCAAAAAAAAAAAAAAAAAAAATCTAAGCACTCAACAACCCAGTACCAACTGTACCCAACAAAATCCCAAAGCAACCAAAGAATTTATGTGTCCCCAATATTTTATTTATTTATTTATTTATTTTTGAGACAGAATCTCGCTCTGTCACTGAGGCTGGAGTGCAGTGGTGCAACCTTGGCTCACTACAACCTCCGCCTCCTGGGTTCAAGTGATTCTCCCTGACCCAGCCTCCCAAGCAGCTGGGATTACAGGTGTGCACCACCACACCGGCTCATTTTTGTATTTTTAGAAGAGACGGGGTTTCACCACATTGGTCAGGCTGGTCTCGAACTCCTGACCTCAGATGATCCACCCGCCTCAGCCTCCCAAAGTGTTGGGATTACAGGCGTTAGCCCCCAATGTTTTATTATAAAGAAAGAAGACCTGTAGTTGACAACACCTATGTTCTTCCAGCTGCGTCAACATTCAGAGTTAGGCAGACTCTGTAGGATATTATTCCAAAGTAAACTCATTCCCCAACTAGTAACTTTTTAACTAACTACATTATTCAAATATCCCTATAAAAGACCACAGTAGACTGAAAAGACATGCTATGAAAAAGATATTAAAATCAGGGGGGAAAAAAAGCAGCTCAGGAGAATGCTAAACAGTAAAGGCTGAGAGCTAACAAAGACTTCTGTGTGGTGAATGAAACCTACCCACTGCAGCGAGCCATCCCAGCACCAACGGCACACAGTACCTGACAGAGTGAGTAAACTCAAAGGATGCCGGGAATGCATGCTGCTGGGATGGGGGTTTGGAGCCCACGGTGTGGGTCCACAGGGAACCTACAGGAAGAACAGAAGGTAGTCGCACTGCACACCGTAGGCTGCCACGTGCTTCTTACTCACCTCACTTGATCCCTATTGCCCATCTGAGAAAGTAGAAATGGAGAGGTAATGTGAGTGCCTTAAGATAGCCGGCAGCTGAAGGTGTGCAGCGAGAACCCTGGTTCCCCAATCTTCCAGGACCACCCCAAAGACAGTGTGGCACTGGTGCTGGTGGCTGGTACACACCAGGTAGCCTACAGCCCTGAAGGTACCAAGTATGACTCTTTAGGGTTCCAAAACTTGATAAAACATCCAATTCCTTTGCTTTAGTTCACGATTTAGCCCTTTTGTGATTCAGCCTGGTTAAATCAGACCTCGTTCTCATGGTAAATGTAAACACCGAGACAGGTGTCGACCATTCCTTCTTGGAGTTTTCTGCAAGTCAGTTCACAGCGCACAGTAGAAAATCTTGGCAAATTAGTTTTTGTGTGTGCAAAGCCAAGATGTGAAAGTGGGCAAAACACAAACTCCCTTAAACATGGCAAAGTGCTGCTGTCCTCTTCCCAGTCAGACCACGAATCAGTTGACCCAACTTACCTGGGTCCCACAGTCTCACACACACAGCACACAGGTGCAACCTCATCAGCCCTATGAGGCCCTGCCTTTCCTGGCCTCACTGCCTATCACTAGCCTCTTCCTGCTGCTCACACAGAGCACAAGGCTGCAGCTACCCTAGGGAAGGGCACCTTCTATTTCACGTTCCCAGCAAGCTCATCTCAATCCCTCACTTCCTGCAGGGGCCTGACCGCCCCACCTAAAACAACAAGTAACAGCGAGTTTCCCTCCTCCATTCCCTTTCTTCATTTTCTACTTCCTTTATTCTGCTTCCTTTGCCCAACATGCCTGGCACTTGCTTACTGTCCGGTTCCTTCTGGCACAGCATGTAACCTCTACAAGAGCAAGGACAGTGTAGGCAGCTCGCTGAATTAAAGATGACCGCATGGAAACCTCCACAACGTAAGCTTCCATGAAGAGACCTGTTGGGTGTTTTGTTTTGGGAGGCGGAGTCTCACTGTCACCCAGACTGGAATGCAGTGGCGTGATCTCGGCTCACTGCAACCTCCGCCTCCTGGGTTCAAGCGACTCTCCTGCCTCAGCCTCCCCAGCAGCCGGGACTACAAGCGCCCGCTACCACGCCCGACTAATTTTTGTATTTCCAGTAGAGCCGGGGGTTCACCATACCGGCCAGGCTGGTCTCAAACTCCCGACCTTGTGATCCGCCCGCCTCGGCCTCTCAAAGCGCTGGGGTTACAGGCGTGAGCCACCGCGCCCGGCAGGGTTTTGAACTGAAGAGCAAACTGCTAGGCCAGGCACCGTGGCTCACGCCTGCAATCCCAGGACTCTGGGAGGCAGAGGCCGCGGAACAAACAACAACTTTGCAAAACCCTTTCGCGTCTCTTATCACATCTGGTTCGTCGAGTAACTGCGAGGTGGAGAAAGCCGAATGCCGCCGAGCCCAGGAGGAAACGGGCGGGCACGCGGAGCCACAAAGCTGGTTCGCGAGGGGGCAAGACGCAAGTGCAAATCGCTCAAAGCCCAGCTCTTTGCAGAGCCGAGCAAGGAGGCTGGGGTCCCGGTTCCATTGTCCGAGGGTAGCGGGCATCCGGGAAACAGCGGGAATTCCGCAACAAGTGGGTGGGAGAGGTAGCGGGGAGAAGAGCAGGAGCTTGGAGAGTGATGGGGCGCCCAGCAGGATGTGGGCGGCGGGAAGCTCGGCCCAGGGGCAGCTGGCCTCACCGTGGGGACCAAGTCAGCGCTCCCAGGCTCCCACGCGGCCGGCGCAGGCCGATGGCGTCACGGGGCGTCCAGCGCAGCCCAGCCGCCGGGAACCCGAGGACAGCGCCTGCCTGCTCACCTGGCGGGCCGTGCCCAGGGCTCTCACGCTGGTCCTGGCCGTCCTGCAGCGACCTAGGCCACCGCATTGCCACAGCAAGGATAGTGGCCCGGCCGCCGCCAGCAGCCGGCACAACATCACCAGTCCCAGGCCTCGCGCGTCCCGAGCACACGCATGCGCAGTGGGAGATCGGGCCTACGGCCCCGGGCCCGCTGGGAGGCCTCGCGCATGCGCGACAGGGCCGCGGCGCCGACTGGGGCCCCCTCTTGGGTGTCCACGCCGTCGCCTGACCGTTTGAGGGTCTGATCGCGACGGCTGAGCGCAGGAGCTCTGCGCCCGACTCGGGCTGGGCGCCACGGGGTTACCCAGCGCCTTTAGACTTACCTTAAATTGGGCATCTCCGTGAACACTTGTTTCTGGGATCCCCCATGGAAGGCAGCTCCCGAAACCACAGCCGCGCGGCCAAGCCCCCGCTGCGCTAGGAAAGCGCCCCGGGAGACGAGCGAACAGTGCGGTCAGCGTGGCTAAAGGTGACCCCAAGAAACCAAAGGGCAGGACGTCTGCTTATGCCTCCTTTGTGCAGACGTGCAGAGAACAACATGAGAAAAACCCAGAGGTCCCTGTCAGTTTTGCAGAATTTTCCAGGAAATGCTCTGAGAGGTGGAAAGGGAGATCGAAACGTGATGGAATGGCGAAGGCGGATGCAGGGCGCTGTGATCGGGAAGTGAAGGGTTATGGACCAGCTAAGGTGGGCGAGAAGAAGAAGGATCCTAATGCCCCCAGAAGGCCACCGTCTGGCTCCCTCCTGTTCTGCTCAGAATTCCGCCCCAAGAGCAAATCTGCAAAGCCTGGCATGTCTGTTGGAGACGTGGCAAAAAAGCCGGGAGAGATGTGGAATCATGTCTATTGGAGACGTGGCAAAAAGGCCGGGTGAGATGTGGAATCACCTAAATGACAGCGGAAGGCGGCCTCAAAGATGAGGAAGGATGAGAAGGAAGTCGGAAGGAAGGTTTGATGGTGCAAAGGGTCCCGCTAAAGTTGCCCGGAAAAAAGTGGAAGAGGAAGATGAAGAAGACGAGGAGGAAGAGGAGGAGGAAGAAGAATAAAAAAAACTTTATCTGTCAAAAAGAAAGAAAGAAAACCGCCCCGGACGTTTCTGCCGCAGACGAGGAGGAAGAGGAGGAGGAGGAAGAAGAATAAAAAAAACTTTATCTGTCAAAAAGAAAAAGAAAGAAAACCGCCCCGGACGTTTGTGCCGCACTGTCCCCCTCGCCAGGGTTCGTTTGTCCTCTGGCGCCGCGGAGCCCACGCCTCCTGTGTGTGCCTGCGGCCGCGCGGACCCATCACTGGACTTCGAGCGACACAGGGAGACCCGCGCGGCGGCCTCGAAGTGCGCCGGGAAGCGGCTGGGCCCTGGGCAGGGGGGCTGCGCCTGCCCCTGGCGACCGGTTCACGGTGATCTCCACGACATCTGGCCGAGACTCCGCAGCCTGTAATCCCCAGCACTCTGGGAGGCCGAGGCTTCCCCGGAGCGAAGGCAGCGCCCAAGGGCGCATTTCGCTGTCTCTGGTCTTGCAGCCACAGGCTCAGCAGCCGCTCCATACTCTCCGTACAGCACTTCAGTGGCGAGTCAACCGAGAGGCTCTCGGGGGAGCCGCTATTTGCGAACTCGGTTTGGTTTTTCCTGTACTATCTCGGATGGTCCCCACCGCAGAGACAGCAAGGCCTGAGCTTCTCATCCGCTTGGAATCGTCCTCACACCTCCAGTTTGATGTCAGGGGTAATCGCTTTCCGTTCCCTTTTGGCACTAGGGACGGCAGGGTGACAGCTGCGCCTAGGGGCCTTTCCTAGGCATTCCTGCCTCCGAAATGCCAAAATCACACCGGTGTCAGGTGCAAGGAGGCTGCGGTTCCTCCACGTCTCCCTGCAGAACTCGGTTAACAGAACACACGGCTGCTCACCCGGCGGGCCGTGCCCAGGGCTCTCACGCTGCTCCTGGCCGTCCTGCCGCCTCCTACTGTGGAGGCTACAGGGGAGCAGGCACTGCCATACACTGCTGGTGGGAATGCAAATCGGTACAGCCCTTCTGGAAGGACATCGGACATCAATGAAAAATCAGTGCCTGGCCAGGTGCAGTAGCTCACACCTGTAATCCCATTACTTTGGGAGGTCAAGGCAGGCAGATGACACCTGAGGCCAGGAGTTTGAGACCAGCCTAGCCAACACGGTGAAACCCTGTCTCTACTGAAAATACAAAAAATTAGCTGGGCGCGCACCTGTAGTACCAGCTACTAGGGAGGCTGAGCAGAATAGCTTGAACCTGGGAGGCGTTAGGCATATCTGTGTGACACCATCACAGGTACTCCCCAACCAATCAGCACATCTGTGACACCACCACAGGTACTCCCCAACCAATCAGCACATCTGTGACATCACCACAGGTACTCCCCAACCAATCAGCACATCTGTGACACCACCACAGGTACTCTCCAATCAGCACATCTGTGACACCACCACAGGTACTCTCCAACCAATCAGCACATCTGTGACACCACCACAGGTACTCTCCAACCAATCAGCACATCTGTGACACCACCACAGGTACTCTCCAACCAATCAGCACATCTGTGACACCACCACAGGTACTCTCCAATCAGCACATCTGTGACACCACCACAGGTACTCTCCAACCAATCAGCACCTCTGTGACACCACCACAGGTACTCTCCAATCAATCAGCACATCTGTGACACCACCACAGGTACTCTCCAACCAATCAGCACCTCTGTGACACCACCACAGGTACTCTCCAATCAATCAGCACATCTGTGACACCACCACAGGTACTCTCCAACCAATCAGCACATCTGTGACACCACCACAGGTACTCCCCAACCAATCAGCACATCTGTGACACCACCACAGGTACTCTCCAACCAATCAGCACATCTGTGACACCACCACAGGTACTCTCCAACCAATCAGCACATCTGTGACACCACCACAGGTACTCTCCAACCAATCAGCACATCTGTGACACCACCACAAGTACTCTCCAACCAATTAGGACATGTTACTTCACCCCACCAGATTACATTCAACGACACTGGATGGAAAAGGCTGTTTTTCCTAAGCCTGCAATTGACTTGTATGTCAGCAAACCAGTTTCTCTCCTCTGTCCCCGATTCACCACACACACCAGACTAAAGGACACATATTTAATGAGACAGTGACAGCAGCAGTTACAGGCCAGCTGGGTCCCACGCTGTGGCCTTCCGCGAGGTGCTGGAGGTGCAGACTGGGTCCTTGCTGGGCTCTTCCTGCTGTGCTGTGGACTCAGAGAAACCCACACGTGATTCTGTTTAGAGACTGTGTCACCCAGAACGCGCAGGTGGGGGAGATGCTGGGTGGGAGTTTTGTCCAGCAAACGCCAGCACAGTTTTCTATGGACACAGTGATGTGTTACTCGAATAATGTGATGCTGAGTACACGTACTTCAGAATGGCTGACACCATATGACAGAAACGTGATGCACGAGGCGTGTGCAGACTGAGGGGTGTCGGGAAACAGCATTTGGCCTTTCACTCCCTCCTCAGCCCCAAGGAGGAAGGGGAAGCCAGACAGGAACCCAACCTCACAGCACACTCTATAAGGGACTCCAGCATGTTCCCTGCTCACCATTCCTCCTGAGGTAGGTCAGTACCCCTGCCCCCATTTTCCAGATGGGGAAACCGAGGCAGAGCAGACAGTAAGAACCTTGCCTGAAGCCACCACAGTGGGGAGAGGACACCACCCCTTCCTGATGACGGAGGGGACAGAGGAGGCTCACTGAATGAGCCCTTGAGCTGTGTGGCCTTTCTGACGGCTAAGGTGTCTTCTCTTGGGCTTCCTGGTCAAAGGGAACAACTACCAAGCAGTGATATTCTCTGCCCTCTGCCCACCATGTGCACCAGCAGCCAAGCACAGTCCAGGGTGTGGGACCCATGTCACCCCTCACCCACCACTCCCCAAAAAGGACAGACAGGAGCACCCCCACTTCCCAGGGCAGAAGGCTGGGAAGCCATGTTCCAAAATGTCCTCTCCCGAGGCCCCTCATGGACCACAGGGTCTGTTAAGTGCACACAGCAAAGCCATGTGTCCCCACACCCAGGGCTGCAGGCGCTCTGCTGTCCAGGGGCCTCTGTCCTGCGGCATAAGGGGCCTCCCCCCCACACCCAGGGCTGCAGGCGCTCTGCTGTCCAGGGGCCTCTGTCCTGCGGCATAAGGGGCCTCCCCCCCACACCCAGGGCTGCAGGCGCTCTGCTGTCCAGGGGCCTCTGTCCTGCGGCATAAGGGGCCTCCCACCCCACACCCAGGGCTGCAGGCGCTCTGCTGTGCAGGGGCCTCTGTCCTGTGGCATAAGGGGCCTCCCCACCACACCCAGGGCTGCAGGCGCTCTGCTGTGCAGGGGCCTCTGTCCTGTGGCATAAGGGGCCTCCCACCCCACACCCAGGGCTGCAGGCGCTCTGCTGTGCAGGGGCCTCTGTCCTGTGGCATAAGGGGCCTCCCCACCACACCCAGGGCTGCAGGCGCTCTGCTGTGCAGGGGCCTCTGTCCTGTGGCATAAGGGGCCTCCCACCCCACACCCAGGGCTGCAGGCGCTCAGCTGTCCAGGGGCCTCTGTCCTGTGGCATAAGGGGCCTCCCACCCCACACCCAGGGCTGCAGGCGCTCAGCTGCCCAGGGGCCTCTGTCCTGCGGCATAAGGGGCCTCCCACACCCCTCTCCCCTGATCTTCCTGAATGGGCTGAGATGAGCAAATATTCTCAGCTCTTGACCTCAGGCCCCCAAGAAAAGGCCACTGGCAGGTGGTTTCCAAGCCACCCAGAGCTCTCCACAGGCAGCAGGACACAGCTCCTCCAGGCAGATTTGGTTCCAAGAAATGCCACGAGGAAGCACTATAGGATCCCATTGTCTAACCTGGAACTTCCTGCAGACACAGTCCCTGCTCCACACCTGGAGGCCAGGACATCCTCCTCAGGAGGCCCCACGGCCTGCTAGCTTAGAGCACCAGCAAAGGTGGGCTGGGCCAAGGCAGGAGCACCCAGCAGGGAAAAGCTCCACGGCCCGCTTCCCTGCTGTTCTACAGAAACAACAGGTGACCCACTGGGCTGACCACGCAGTGGGGCCTTAGACCCTCAGGCCCCGGGTAGAGGCGGGTCTACAGGTGACAGCTATGAACAGCCCTAGCTGGGGACAACCAGAAGCCCCCAAGAAGGCGCGTGGCTGGAAAGGATGGAGCCTCCAGGCAAAGCGGAAACCCACTTCGTGGGAAACGGCCCTGGGCTGGGTGGTGGAGCCACGTCCTCACGTCTCCTTAGAAGCCCTCTTGGGGTCTTGGCCTGACGAGTTTCCAGGAAGGCCAGAAGGGGAGCTGTGAAATCTCTAGGGCCCAGATGTCCTGGTCTAGGGGTGTGGAGGGCTCTGTGCCATGAGGGAGGTGAGATGTACCCCCAACTCCCTGCCCAGGGAGTCCTGCACTGGGGAAGGGTGGGGGCCACGTAAGGACCCCTCCCAGGAGTGCAGCCAGGTGTGGCCACCCCGAGTCCCCGAATGCACATGGGAGACCACAGTCCTTGACAATGCCCACCCACTCTGGCCCCGCTGGGGCGAATGGGTCCTGGGGTCGCACCCCAGGGGTCTCCAGAGTAGAACGAACAACTTGACGTTGGTGGGGTAGGTCCCGGTGGGCCAGGCGGGTGCCTGGCACTCCTCCTTAGCCCTAGGCCTCCACGTCAGCACCTGGCTCCTGGAAGAGCGACTGCTTCCTCAGGCTGAGCCGGGCACACTTGGGGCATGTGGTGGAGTTGTCATAGTAGCAGTCCCTGGGGGCAGGAACAGGTTGGGGCTCTTGGCACAGGAAACGCCAGCACTGACTCCCCACACACACCCTAAGTCAGCTCTCATCATCCCTCTACAGCCATTACCAAAGGCCAGAATCAGGCTCTACACCAGGTGAGTGACTGTGTGGTCGTGTGCAGAGGTGGATCTCCAGGGATCCTCACATTACCACTGTCCGCGACCACACAGGTCCAGACACAGCTGAGGGGCTGAGCCAGGTGGCCACGCCGGCCTCAGAGCCCTTCCTCACGATCCCCCCTGTTCCTATCCCAGGGTGCCCGGCATCTGTGAGGTCTCGAGCACACTACCAGCTGACAGAGTTCAGTCTCAACCCGAGTTTCTGCCACAGTCCCCTCTGTGTGACAGCACAGCCCTGCAGAGCCGGGATTTCAGCAGTTACTATGGAAAACAGCAAATTCCAGGTAAAAATCAGGGGACAGAAACGGGGAGGGAGGGGAGTGTTCCATCTGATTCCACGTCTGGAAGACATGCGGAGCCCAAAACCTGCATGCCCGTCATCAGTGAGTCATCATGCTTACTGAAGCATGAAATCAAAATAGTTTTCTTCTAATTTGTGTGTATTCGTTTTCCAAACATCCACTAAATCTTTAGGACATAAATACTTATAAAGTTGTTCAAACATACGTAATTTTCCCTGTGGCTCCAGTGGCTAGGAAAAAAGAGAGCTAAGTACTTTTAATAAGTGAAAGTGTTAGGAATTTCCTTTGGCCTAGGAACACTTTGAAAAAGTTACCAAGACATTAAACCACAAAGTTTGGGAATCTCTAGCCTATAATAACCCTCAAAGAGTGATTTCAATCCTAGTGGTGAGAGGAACCAGCTGGGATGCCGTGAACACGTCTGGGGCGGAGCCGGGGCTGCCAGGGCTAAGGGCTGGGCCCCCCAGGCCCCAGGTGCTGACCTGAGGGAACTTCTCATTCAGTCACAGACATCAGGGTCTGACTCAGTATCTCAGGGTCAGCAAAGGTCCATCTCCCTCTCTCTAGGGCACCAGTGCCATCTCCCATGGCATCCTCCGTACCTGAGGCCAGGGGTGGCTCCTGGAGGACAGGGCAGAGCCCCTGTGCAGGGCCCCAGCCACACCCACCTGTGGAAGACGGCGGAGCAGTCGGTGCACACGGACGTGTGGCTGTCGAACGGGAACAGCACGTCGCCCTCTCTGCAGAGCTCACACACAAAGCCCTTGGCCTGGCACCGCTGGGGGAACAGTGTGGTGTTGGGGCACGGGAACATCAGTGCCAGCTCCTCTGAGCACTCCAGGCCAGGGACACAGCAGGCTGGGTGGTGTCTCCTGCAAACCCCCCTCAGGGCTGGGGCTGGGGGAACATAGCCCTCAGGCAGAGGCCCACCTCGCAGTCCAGCTTGATGTGCTTGGCGAAGAGTGTGTGGATCTCGGTGAGCGAGCAGCCCAGGCGGCCAGCATGCACATCCAGGAGGTCCTGGACAGAGTACATCTCGTCGTTCTCCACAAAATGCTGCCGATCCTGGAGCTGCCAAGTCCCAGCAGCTGTGACCCCCTGCACCGGGGAAGGCCCTGCCCACTGCCCACACGTGGTCGCACCAGTGATCAGGGCCTGGTGCTCACCGAGAAACGAGCTGAAGAAGGATCTAGGCCCCAGGAGTATAAACCAGGAGCCCCAGGAAGCCAACAAGGGAAGATGGAGCAGAGCCACACTTCCTGACCTGTGTAGACTCCGCCCTCCACTCCCGATGCAGCACCTCCAGGCACAGTGCAGTGCCCCACCCATGTAGACCCCACCCTCCACTCCCGATGCAGCACCTCCAGGCATACTGTACTCCCTGACCCATGTAGCCCCCCTGCCCTCCACTCCCGATGCAGCACCTCCAGGCATACTGTACTCCCCCACCTGTGTAGCACCCCCCGGCCACCCTCCACTCCCGATGCAGCCCTCCAGGCACACTGCGCCCCCTCATTCCCCACCCTTCCTGCTCTGCCTTGTCCACAGGGCTCACCACCCCAACATATAACTTATTTTTCCTGTGTTCCCTACTTGAAAGGCACTCTAAAGGCAAGGACTCCTGTCTATTTTGTTCACTGTTCCCAGAATCTAGACCAGCTGTATCTGCTGAAGAAATGATCAGATGCACCTTGAAAACTGTGCTTTGTGGTGAACCTGCCTGAGGAGGGTGGGGCTCCACCCCCATGGAGATTCACATGAAGGCTGCGGGGCTTCCCAGACTGAACGCCTTGGAGAAGCCCTCTGTGGGTAGAATACATGTTTGCTTTGCTCCCTGGGACAGTGCTTAGGAGACCCTCTGCTAAAGCTACGACATGCACAAGCTGGAAAAGCCCTGAGCCAGAGCTGCCTTGCCGCCCGGCAGTGCTTCCCCTCCGGGCCAGTCCCGCCGTCAGTCTGACCTGCAGCAGCAGACGAGCCTCCATGGCCTCCCTGCAGGTGAGGAAGTACGGCTTCATGAGCAAGATGTCCTGGCGCAGCTTCTGCAGACAAGGCGGGGTGGGCGGCTTCCTCAGCCAGGACGCAGGGCTGGCCCGGCACGGGCCTCACGGGGAGCCCTGCTCACAGGCAGCTGCCCCATGCCGGAGGCTATGCAGGGTCGGAGGGTCGGCTCCCGAGGAGGGGCCCAGAGCTGAGGGCTATAGCGAAACACAAGCCCAAACCACAGCTCCCGGGCCGGGCAGGACCGTGAGGCTCTTACCCTTCCCTCCCCCTCACCCGGCCCCTCAGGCACACAACTGTCCAGGAGCCGGCAGCCTCAGGAAGCCAAACTTCCAGAGAAATCCCAGTTCCCGCCCCAGCCCTGGTCTTGGCAACTCAATCTGCTGCCACGGTCTCCTCCCTGGTAAAACGGGAACCAATGCCTTTCACCACCTCACAGGAGACTCGGTCACGTCCTGCCTGCTGGGACCGCAGCTCCCGTCTGCCCTTGGCTCCCGCCCTAACTCCTCCCTCACCGCTAGCTAAGAGAGGGGCCAGCAGCCTCACACAGCCACAGAGCCCTGGAAAGTGGCTGCTGAGCAGTGAGATGGCCTTAAGCAGAGAATACACACTGGCGACAAAGACACGGCGCAAAAAAGAAAAAGAACATAAAATATCTCAAAACGTACACTGAGTTCACGTTGAAATAATATTCTGGATATATTGGGCTAAATAAAATACATTTTTAAAATTAACCTCACTTGTTTCTTTTTACTTTTTTTTTTTGAGACAAGAGTTTCGCTCCTGTTGCCCAGGCTGGAGTGCACTGGTGCGATCTCGGCTCACTGCAACCTCTGCCTCCTGGGTTCAAGCAATTCTCCTGCCTCAGCCTCCTGAGTATCTGGGATCACAGGCACATGCCACCATGCCCAGCTAATTTTGTATTTTTAGTAGAGACGGGGTTTCACCATGTCGTTCAGGCTGGTCTCGAACTCCTGACCTCAGGTGATCCACCCGCCTCCGCCTCCCAAAGTACTGGGATTACAGGCGTGAGCCACTGAGCCCAGCCCTTTTTACTTTTTAACATAGCTATTAGAAAATTCGATACTGCATTCATGCTTGGCATAAGACTACTATTGCACACAGCTCCAGCACCTTCAACCAAAGGGTAGCCACGGCGCCCAGATCACCCTAAGCAGGCGGCCTCCCTCCTCTGCTCAGAACCTCCCACGGCCCAGAGGAGAAGAGGGTGCTGTGCTGGCCCGGCCCTAGGGCCCATCGACACAACGCCCCTGCCCCCCACTTCCAGGGCCCCAGCCTCACTCGAATCTCCACCAGCTCCTCCACGTAGTTGAACAGCAGAGGGTTGATCTCACGAAGCCTGAGCACAGGCCGAGACACCATCAGCGCCAGGTAGCGCATGCTGCAGCGGGATACCTGCAGGCAAGGCTGGTGACACCTCGAACACCCGCCCAGGGCCCATACACCGGCGACACCCACCCTCGGCCCCCGCAGCCAGCAGCACCCACCGGGGGCACACGGGCTCCACACCCCAATCCCCCTTCCTGCTCTCCCTCTCCAGGGGGATGCCCCCACCTTCCAGCCCCCACCTTTCGAGGCTCGAAGTCCCAGTTGTGCACCACGCGTGCGGGGATGACGGCCAGGTCGTTCCAGTGGCAGTGGTGGCAGTAGTACTGGCCAGTGTAGTCACACTGCCTGGCCTCGCTGGGCACACCTCCTGCAGGGGGCAGGGCCATCACCAAGTCAGAGGGGCTGTGAGGGTCCCCGCGTCACCAAAGCCCCCCATGGCTTCCCAGCCTCACAGTCTGTCCTCCCGAGGACCACGGCGAGACAGCCAGCCAGGCCAAGGGCTCCCTCCTGACTCATCCTATCCTCAGGTGGTCCCAGCGTCTCCTGCCCTGTTTTCTGATCAGTAAAAGGCGATACAGACAGGGCCCCACTGTAGGGCTGTGTGGGGACTTGACACCAGCAACTCTCCAGAGAGAAGAGCGGCTGCACACATGTGCATGACAACCGTGTGATCTTCCCAGTCCTGTGGATGAGGCTTTCTGTGACAAAAGGCTGACCAGGGAGGCAAAGGTCAGGTCCCAGCCCTGCAGGTGCTCCTCGGGGACCTGGGGGAGTCACAGAACCGCTGGAACCTCAGTCTGCTTCTGTGAGAAAAAATACCAGCAGCAGACCCGTGGGTCACTTTCCAAGGACAACAAGCAGGGATTGCCTCAGGGCCTCACTCCGCTGTCTGACTGACATGCCCTCACACACCTGCACACCCAGCTCCCCGGCCAGGAACAGCTCCCTCACCCTCTTCTCTCCCTGCCACACTCACGCAGAGAGATGGGCACCCGGCACTCGGCACAGCGGTAATCCTGGCTGTCCAGCCCGGTCTCAGGGCAGATGTTCAGTTCGTATTCGGCTTGGTGGCTGACTTTGGAGCTCACACAGGGCTTGGAGATGAGGTTCAAGCACTTGCTGTGACAGCGGTAATAACACCCTAGGGTGGCCGGACACACACTTCTCAGAAGTAGGAAGGGGCACCTGCAGCCGCCCTGCCCCCTGCCCATGGGTTCCATTCCGAGGCCCAGATCAATTTAAGACCTCCTGGCACCAAGGGAGGCCTTAGAACCTCAAAGATCCTCTTACCCCTGGCCCCTGAGGCTTACCCCAAAGGTGGCCCAGATTTTGTCCCTCAACTTGACTCACATGTCTGGGGTTAACCTGCCACTCCCACCCCAGACCCAGTGTGTCCAAATGGAATGAAAAGAACTCCCACCCTGCCCTCCCAAGCCCCTCAGCTTCCCATCCTGGTTTCAGCAGCTCCACTCTTTAAATATTGTCAGTTATCCTGACCCCTATCTATCTGGGTTTTTTGTACTTTTTAAGAGACAGGGTCTTGCTCTGTCACCCAGGGTGGAGTGCAATCGTGCGACCACAGCTCACTGCAGCATGGAACTCCAGCGCTCAAGCCATCCTCCCACCTATGCATCTAAAAGCCCTCATATTACAGGTGTGAGTCACCACACCCAGCCCGACTTTTCTCATCTGCCACCCTCCGTTCCCAAACCTTTAGCTGCCACCACACTGAGCTGCCTCTCACTCCCACCACCTGTGTCACCTGTCGGTGTCCTCCTCCCCTTCTCACTCACCTCCCTCTTCAGTCCTTGCTCAACCAGCAGCCAGAGTGACCCTTTTAAAGGCCAAGGATATCCAGCTCCCACCTGTGGCCCCACTGCACTTAAAGAAAAGCCTCAACCACCTCTGAGCCCACCTCCCCCAGACACAGAGCTGCAGCCACACGTCTCTCTGCTCCGCCTTAAAGGCCCTGGACTGTGGGAAGAAAGTTGCCCAGGTGCCGTGGCAAGAGACTGACGGCACAATGTGTCCCAGCATAATAAATATCTGATTACTTAGTTATAGCAACGATATATTTACTGATTACTTAGTTATAGAAATGACACTGAACAGATATTAGATTCAACCACATAATCAATTATATAATCAATCTTATTACACCATTATTCTCTATTAATCTTTGCTCTGGTGTAGGAATATTTTAGTCTTATAGTATAGACATAATTGGGTGAAATATAATTCGGAACTGAAAGGACACTGTGAGAAGGGACCAGGAGGTGAGAGTAAACGCTTTGCAGTAACACCAGCATCTGGGGAGGCGCCCGCTACTTAGCAGCCAGGCCTGCGGTAACACCAGCATCTGGGGAGGCATCCGCGACTCAGCAGCCAGGCCTGCGGTAACGCCAGCATCTGGGCAGGCACCCGTTCTTTAGCAGGCCGTGAGGGGGAGTTTCCCTCTCATTGAGGAGTTCGGAGAAAACTCTGCTCTGCCAGCTCTTGAGGAAGGTCTGACACTAGCCAGCCGGCCCGCAGACATCCAGGGATTTATTTAAACACCTCTCCGTGGGGCTGTGCTCTGACGGTCACCATCCTTGTCCACTTTCTCACCCGATACTCCCTTGTAAATTCTTACAAGCTGTGGGAAGTTGAGGAATCCTGAAAGCCTTTGCTCTCTCTAATAAGCGCATAAAGACACTGACGTAAGTGCCTCCTTTCTCTACAGAGGCTGCCTGAGTGGGAGGGGCCCTCTGTACTGTTCCCACGTGACCCCCGGAACTATGCACGTGTGGCCCCCTGTATTATAAGAATATGACTTGCTTGACCCCTACCAATCCTGTCAGATGAGTCACTCTCCTGACTCTGCCCCCCCTGCCCTGTATACAATAAATATCAGCGTGTGCAGGCCTTCGGGGCCACTGCTGGATTCCGCCCCTGGTAGCAGTGGACCCCCGAGCCCAGCTGAATTCTTCTTCTATCTCTGTGTCCTCGTCTCTTTCTTTTCTATGATCTATCGTCTCCACACACAAAAGAACACCCACTACACCCTGTGGGGCCGGACCCTGTACTGGACACATCAACCTCAGGGCCCTGGTACACACGGCCGCCCCCACAGGAACAGTCCTTCCTAGATATTCTCTTGGCTTTCTCCCTGAACTTCATGTCTCTGCTTCAAATTCAGGTAATACCTTCACATTCTGCCCTAAACGCGCACGCAATCGACCCTAACACATGCTATTTCCTTTCCCTTTTTCTCCACTGTAATGACTGACACGCCACGTAATTCACCAGTGTAATTTCTCATCCAGAACAGCCCTGTCCAGGGTAGACAGTACAACTGAGGAAATGCAAATTTAATTAATTTAACTTTGAGTGGCCACCACGCTGGACAGTGAGCCCGGAGGAGGCAGGAGCTTGGGTCTCTCCCATCCCTCCCTCCTCATCTGGTCTCAGCCCACCTGTGCAGGTGTACCAGGTCTGAATGAGCCCCCAGATGATGGTGTTGCATTTGTCACAGGTCTGCTTGACGCTCTTGCTCTTCTCCTTGTAGAAGCGGTGCTCCAGGAGCACTCTGATGTTTGGCTCATCCTCGTTGGGGTCCTGCAGAGGGCAGGTCAGGGAGGGTCACAGGTGAGCTGGGCTGAAGCTCCTTTTCCTTTGCACTAGCCCCTCAACTGACTCCTTCCAGGCACCATGTAGAGTGGAGACTGTGAGTGTCAGCACAATGCCATGCCCCTTTTCCCCTTTCACAGTAAACAATGATCAGCTGGAGAAGGACAGCCAAGATCACCTGCTACCTTTCCCAGCATCCCTTGCAGCAAAGTGCTGTGTGGGACTACACAGGGCCACAGGCATGTAAGTGGGAGCCATGCAGCCTCTCTGGGCCATGGGCATGTGAGTGGGAGGGAAGTGACTTCTCTGGGCCACGGGCATGTGAGTGGGAGCCATGTGGCCTCTCTGGGCCACGGGCATGTGAGTGGGAGGGAAGTGGCCTCTCTGGGCCACGGGCATATGAGTGGGAGGGAAGTGGCCTCTCTGGGCCACGGGCATGTGAGTGGGAGGGAAGTGGCCTCTCTGGGCCATGGGCATGTGAGTGGAAGCCATGCGGCCTCTCTGGGCCACAGGCATTGAGGGAGAGGAATGCAGCCTCTCTGGGCCACAGGCATGTGAACGGGAAGGATGTGGACTCTCTGGGCCACGGGCATGTGAGCAGGAGGTATGTGGCCTCTCTGGGCCACAGGCATGTGAGCAGGAGGGATGTGGCCTCTCTGGGCTACGGGCATGTGAGCAGGAGGGATGTGGCCCCTGTGGGCCACGGGCATTGAGTGAGAGCCATGCAGCCTCTCTAGGACACAGGCATATGAGCGGGAGGGATGTGGCCTCTCTGCCCCTCCCGCCTTCTGCTGGTCAGGTACAGGGCAATGGAAAAGGAGGCCCTCCCCACCTCTCCCTAAACACCATTAGCTGCAACATGGGCCTCAGACCACCTACAGGATTTTCACGTGCGGAAACCAATACATATTCCCTAAGTCTCTATGTTTTGGGGATTTTTGTTACCACTAACTTACCTGTTCGCTAATGAATATTCTACTTTCCACAATCCCAGGGACTCATGAGTCAGCATAGGGGACCCAGGGCAGCAGGGCCAAAGCACACGCAAGGCCTGATCCCCCAAGGCCAGCATCAGGGATATCTGTGGCTTGGGACCCATCACCTTCTTCTGTCCTCACCTTCAGGACACCACCCCTCCTTGTCCAGGTCATGTTCACGGAGGAACTCAGCCCACCCACTCGCTTCAGTGGGTGGACACATAGCCCAGAACTAGCCAATCAGCCACCGTCATTAGGTCAGGGGGTGGGCCCAAGACCCAGAACTGGCCAGTCAGGCACTGTCATTAGGTCAGGGGGTGGGCCCATGACCCAGAACTGGCCAGTCAGGCACTGTCATTGGGTCAGGGGTGGGCCCATGACCCAGAACTGGCCAATCAACCACCGTCATCGGGTCAGGGGGTGGGCCCATGACCCAGAACTGGCCAGTCAGGCACTGTCATTGGGTCAGGGGTGGGCCCATGACTGGCCTGTGAAACTCAGGCCTGAGCCTCCTGCTATAACCACAGAAAAGGCAGCTGTCATCACCCAGGGCAGCCCGGCTGCTGGAAAACAAGGTACGGGTGCTGGGACCCTCTCTGCCACCACCACATGCTGGGAGACAAGACTCCTGACTTCGGAGGGTCTTCCAGTCATGAAGCAAATACATTTTTCTTTTTGGTTTAAGCTACTTAGGGTTGGGTTTCTGTTCCTCGAAATAAAAGGGTCTAGACTAATAGAGAAACCTCCGTGGTTGTGTTCGGGCAAGGGCCCATCTTCCACCCTGCCTCTCTAGTGCCTTTCTACCTCAGCCCCTCAGGCCAAGAGGGGGACCGCTGCCTGAGAGACAGCCAGAGGCTGGCGGGGCCTCCTGGTCCCACGGGTCTGGCCTCAGCCCCAGGCCGCCCCACGATGGGCCCACACCCACCTTCAGCTCCTGGAGCTTCAGCCGGAGGTGGATGAGCCGCACCACAGCATCCTTCTGCTTCTCCGACTGCTCGGGCAGCTCCAGGATCACCTGCTTGCACTCCTCGATCGCCTGCTGCAGCTGCTGGACATCAGAGGCCAGGAACAGACCCTGCCGAGGGTGGGGTTGGGGGGCAGTCAGATGCTCACACTGCAGGTTCTCCCTGTGAAGTCCCATCCTTCGAGACAGGCCCAGAGCAAACCCCGACACCCCTCACCCAGAGAAGGAAACTGAAGCAGAGGGCCACCCCGTGCACCTGCTCCCCGCTGAAAACCTAATGTGTGAAAGATGCTTTTCAAAAGACAACTTCCTTCTTTAGAAATCCTGTTGCTTTTTCCGCTATGTCATTTCGGTCACTTCTCGAGCTTCCTCTTGGAGGAAGGCCAGGGAAATGACATTTGCTGTTATGAAGGAGAGTAAGTAGCCTCAAGCTTAACTGCCAAGCCCAGGCAGGTGCGAACACCCCAGCACTTCTGGCTGCTTTCTCCACGTAGTGGCCAGGGGGCTCCTCAGGGCGCAGCAAGACCCCAGACTCACAACACTCTCGTGCTCCTGGGGCAGACAAGATCGGGTCTCGGAGCTGGGGAGTCCGGGCTGACCCTGCCCTCAGGAGCCTCCTCCTCCTCCAGGCTGCTGGGCTCTGAGGCCCAGACAAAGAGGAGGGGTTACCCTCCTCTCTCCCGGTCTGTGGCCCCAAATCAAGTGCTCAAAATGTCGTCATAAATAAAACAAGCTGAGCACAGTGTGTCACACCTATAATCCCAGCAGTCTGGGAGGCCGCAGTGGGAGGATTGCTTGAGCTCAGGAGCTTGAGACCAGCCTGGGCAACAAAGCGAGATCCCATGTCTGCACAAAAAGTTTAAAAATTATCTGAGCATTGTAGTGCACACCTGCAGTCTCAGCTAATCAGGAAGCTGAGGTGAGAGCATCGCTTGAGCCCAGGAGGTCGAGGCTACAGTGAGCCACGATCGCGTCACTGCACTCCAGAGCAGGGCAACAGAGTAAGACCCTATCTCAGAAAAAGGAGAAAAAAAAAAAGATACTCAACTTGATTGGATTAAAGGAAAAGAAAAATAAATAAACAAACAAAGATACAAAACACATATATGAAGTCCCTCTACATGGGCAAAGCTTAAAGGCCACACACAAAATGAACAGTGAATTACAATGGGGAGGTTCTGACCAAATCTTTTCAGAGTTACATTTTAATGTTATTATAATGTTTCTTTCAAAAGTTGGAGACAGTTTGCAAAAAAGGTTTTCAGCCGGGCGTGGTGGCCCACACCTGTAATCCCAGCACTTTGGGAGGCCGAGGTGGGTGGATTACGAGGTCAAGAGATCGAGACCATCCTGGTCAACATGGTGAAACCCCGTCTCTACTAAAAATACAAAAAAAAAATTAGCTGGGCACGGTGGCATGTGCCTGTAATCCCAGCTACTCAGGAGGCTGAGGCAGGAGAACTGCCTGAACCCAGGAGGCGGAGGTTGCAGTGAGCCGAGATCGCGCCATTGCACTCCAGCCTGGGTAACAAGAGCGAAACTCAGTCTCAAAAAAAAAAAAAAGGTTTTCAAAGTTTTTTTAAAAATCCTTACAGCCACCAGGCACGGTGGCTCATGCCTGTAATCCTAGCACTTTGGGAGGCCAAGGTGGGTGGATCACCTGACGTCAGGAGTTCAAGACCAGCCTGGCCATCATGGTGAAACCCCATCTTTGTAAAAAAAAAAAAAAAAAAAAATCCTTACAGCCTCCCTGTTTTCTTCTTCAAAGCTAGGCTTCCAAGGAAGGAAACACAGAACAAGCAAAGGGCCCTGTGACACCGGCCGGTCAGGAAGAGGCAGACGGGGCTTCTCCCTTGCCTCCCGCACCGCACTGGGGTCTGCAGGACCCCGAGGACCCCAGAGGGAACCGACTCTCATATTTGCTTCGTGAAGACAAGGAGCTCAGGGGACAGGAGCAGCCCCAGGTTCAGGAAGCAAAATCCAGGCTGTCTCCACCTGCCTCACACAGGCTCTGAGGGTGGGGGTCTGCGGTGTCACACAGGCCTCAGATTCGAAGCCGGGAGCCCTGGCTGAGGTGGGAGCTGCACCTGCCACCTGGGAGCAAGTGACAAGGAAACCGCTGGCCCTTCCTGCCTTGAGGACTCACTCAGTCCCTCTCTCCTCCCACATCCGAAACCTACCACAGGGCGGGAGAAGTGGTCCTCAGACAGGCCCAGATCCATCACGCGCTCAGTGCAGCGGAACTCTGGCTCTGCAGGGGGCAGCTCCGGCAGGGCCTCTGGGGGAAGATGGGACAGGTGTGGAGGGTCAGCTGCTGCCTCCTGTCTCCCATCCCCAAGGGAGGAGCTGGGACACCGGGAGTGGGAAAGGGATTCAGGAAGCCGCACAGAAAGCAGGCACTGGGGGAGCTGGGCACCACTCAGACCCGCACATCCACTTCTCATGCAGACAGCAAAGAGCCATTCGAGAAGAGGAGGTGGAATGATACTCTGTGCTAAAAGTTCCTCAAGATGGCATTACAGAAACATCCCCGTTCCCAAGGCACACACCTCATGCATGAACATGGGGATTACAGAAAAACCACGGCTGGCTACAGGGCAAAATCCACAAACACCAGGGCCCACTCCAGCCCATCTCTGCAGCTGCCCATCTCTGCAGCTGCCCCGCCCCAGCACTCCTTGATGACCTCATGTGCAGTTTCTGGGGCTGACGCCATCCTGATGCCCACAGCACGGTCAATCAGCTAACCTCTCCCTCACAGGTCTCAGTGCCGAGCTCACTCAGCCAGTGTTCCCTGAGCACCTACTGTGTGCAGGGCCCTAGGATAGAGCAGTGACGAGTCAGGCACAAATCCTGCTGTCAGGAGTGTGAATTCTAGTGGGCACACAGAAACAAACCACAGAACCACAGAACAGGTGGGAACAAGGAAGCAGCCAGCAGGTGTCGGCTCCGTGGGAAAGGCAGGACTGCACAGGAGGCAGCAGGAAGAACGGCGGTCCACATCAGTGGCCAGACACCTTCTCAGCTCCCATCCCGACTCCCACCAGCACCCACCTTCAGGTGTGGCGTCCGGGGCCTCCTCTCCAGGGCGCTGCTCATGCTGTCTTGGTCCCGACTGCTTGTTGAAGGGGTTGAGGTGGGCCTGCCGGAAGCGGGCCAGCTTCTCATCATATTCCATAGCATTCCACCTGAGGGCCAGGCAGGGCCAGGATGAGTCCCCAGGTACCAGGCTCACCACAGACTACCTCCTCTCCCCAACCACACTGGGGTTTCTGGGATGAGGTGGGTCTCTTTCACTTCCATGAAGCACGTGGTCCTCAAACCACACAGCTTTCATCCTCGGCCTCTTCCTGAAACACCTCAGGCGCCCTGCCCAGGCCCCCATTGGTGGTGTTACCTTGGGAAGAGCTCACAGTGACAATAAGAATTCCACAATAGCCGGGCGCGGTGGCTCAAGCCTGTAATCCCAGCACTTTGGGAGGCCGAGGCGGGTGGATCACGAGGTCAACAGATCGAGACCATCTGGTCAACATGGTGAAACCCCGTCTCTACTAAAAATACAAAAAAATTAGCTGGGCATGGTGGCGCGTGCCTGTAATCCCAGCTACTCAGGAGGCTGAGGCGGGAGAATTGCCTGAACCCAAGAGGCAGAGGTTGCGGTGAGCCAAGATCGCGCCATTGCACTCCAGCCTGGGTAACAAGAGCGTAACTCCGTCTCAAATAAAAAAAATAAAAAAAGAATTCCACAATAGGAGAGAGGCATGTGGCCCACCTGAGGGGCCCAGCTCCTGCCCCCAAGCACAGGGTCCTCTGGAGCCAGATGCTGAAGAGTCCCAGCCCTAGAGCTACCTGCTCCTGTGAGACAGACCTCCCAGAAATGGTTGCTCCTCCCTGGGCCCCAACCGAAACTGCTGCTTTCCTGTCAGAGCACCCCAAAACCACAGCCCGTCTCAGGGCTCAGGGTTGGACACTTGGGGACAGTGCCAAGGCCCATTCCTACTTGGCCACATGTGGGTGAGCAGCGCCCACCTTCCCCATGCCCAGGAAGGGGGATCTTGGGAGAAGCCCCACACAGGCATCCAGGCTCTCTGGCCTGGTTCTGATCCTGGATGTGCGACAGAGCCCCAGCCAGGCCACTGGCTCTGCGCCTCCAGAGCCCCAGGCAATAGTCAGGAAGGACCTAGTTCTCCACAGGGCAGAAGCTGAGACTCAAGAATGGCTCCTTCCCGGCCCTCAGGCTCAGAAAGAACTGCAGAACACACAGGAGTGACGGCTCCTGGGAGGGAGGAAGGCACTTGGTTGGGTGGGAGTAGAGGCAGCTTCCATGCCGCCTCCCAATCAGCTTCCTGGGCCACGTTGCTTAGCCTCTCTGCCTCCATTTCCCCATCCGCAATGGGCCACGGTGAGGGTGAAATGAGCTAATAGAGACCGAACAGAACCAGCTCGCAGTAAGGTTTGCTGCTGTTACGGGAAGTCTTCGGTAACTGCCTCAGTACCGCTTACACTATCACTACACTTGCTAGTCTGAAATAATTCACAAGTATAAAAAACGATCGAGGATTTATCCTCTGTCTCTTCTCCCAAAGGAAAGAGAGCTGAGCCCAGAGGAGACAGCCCTGCTCGGGGTCACACTGTGGCCTCGGGGAGCTGGATTTGAACAAATTGCCTCACTGGCAGCAGGACAAGGAGGCCACCCCAACCCCACATGTCCAACCTGCCACTGGGCAAGACTCCACCCCACCTATGGGACCAGTGCTGCCTGTTGTACCTGTGGGGCAGGAGTGTGGGTGGGGCACCTGCCCTCCAGCCTGGAAGGACCCAGCACCCACTGACAGGCTGACCCCGGACCAAAACAGGGAGGTGCTGGGAAGACAGAGGGAGCGTGGCCCCAGTCCCACCTCTTTCTCTGATTACCTGACGACTCTGGGTGGGTCACAGAGTCAGAGGCGGTCACCCAATGCCAGCGCCTCCCCAGTCTTCCAGGGAACACCCAGGACACAGGAGGAATCGGGGCCATCCGACATCACGCCTCCTCCTTCCTGAATGGGGTGCCTCATTTTTGTTTGTCACGTAATTTCCCAGCCTCCCCTGCAGACAGACCCGGTCATGTGACTGTGTTCTGAGACCCTGGGCTTGAGAAGACCAGGAAGATCTGAGCAGCTCTGAGCTCCTGACTTCACTGACATACCCAACTCATCAGCCCTCCATCCGCCCCAGGAAGTGGGTGTTCTCCCTGATTTATAGGCAAGAAAACGGAGAAGCAGAGTCTGAATCAGAACTATCTGAAAATAATAGTAATGGGCCAGGCGTGGTAGCTCACATCTGTAATCCCAGCACTTTGGAAGGCTGAAGCAGAAGGACCACATTAGGCCAGGCTCACTGCAGTGAGAACCAATCTCCACTGAACGTAACATACATATACGTGTGTGTGTGTGTGTGTGTGTGTATGTGTACATGTGCGTGTATATGTGTGTATGTGTACATGTGCGTGTATATATGTATGTATGTGTATAGGTGTGTGCGTATATATGAAAAAAAGAAAAGAAAGACTTCTGAGACTTGTCTTTTTTTTTGAGACAGAGTCTTGCTCTGTCACCCCAGGCTGGGGTGTAGTGGTGCGATCTTGGCTCACTGCAACCTCCATTTCCCAAGTTCAAGCAATTCTCTGCCTCAGCCTCGCAAGTAGCTGAGATTATAGGCCCCCACCACTATGCCCAGTTAATTTTTGTATTTTTAGTAGAGACGGGGTTTCACCATCTTGGCCAGGCTGGTCTCCAACTCCTGACCTCGTGATCCACTTGCCTCAGGCTCCCAAGGTGCTGGGATTATAGGCAGGAGACACTGTGCCCAGCCAAGACTTGTCATTAAAGGTAGAGAGGCTGCCCCTCTCCAGCCGTTCTCACATGTTGCTACATGGGATGCAGGTGTAAAGGCTGGGGCTGCAGCAGCCACCATGGGCTGTGACATAAAAGCCATGCAGGAGGATGGCAGTGACAGGATTGCAGGGGACTCCGCCTGAGCCCTGAGGCTCACAGAGAAATACGGTATTCCCACCGCTGTTATTGGCAGGAGGTTTCTGTCTCTTAGAGCCAAAATAGATTCTGACTGAAAGGCCAAAGCGGTGGCTCACACCTGTAATCCCAGCACTCTGGGAGGCCTAGTAGGCAGATCACCTGAGGTGAAGCGTTCGAGACCAGCCTGGGCAACATGGGGAAACCCTGTCTCTACCAAAAATACAAAAAGTAGCCAGGCGTGGTGGCAGGCACCTGTAATCCCAGTCACTTGGGAGGCTGAGGCTGCAGTGGGCCAAGATTGAGCCACTGACCTCCAGCTTGGGTGACAGAGTGATATACCATCTCAAAAAAAAAAAAAAAAAGGTGGGGCACAGTGGCTCATGCATGTAATCCCAGCACTTTGGGAGGGTGAGGTGGGCGGATCATGAGGTCAGGAGTTTGAGACCAGCCTAAAATCAGCCGGGCGTGGTGGTGTGCACCTGTAATCCCAGCTACTCAGGAGGCTGAGGAGGGAGAATCTCTTGAACCCTGGAGGCAGAGGCAGACGTTGCAGTGAGCCAAGATGACGCCTGGGCAACAGAGCAAGACTTCATCTCAAAAAAAAGAAAAGATTCTGACTGATGATGCCAATTGTTTATGGTAAAAAGACAGACACACCCAACTCAAATCCCAGCTCTTCCAGTTCCCAGCCCTGTGACTTTGGGTAAACGGATAAATCTTTCTCTGCTTCCATTCTCTCATGTCTCAAATGCGGATGACAACAGTACCATACGGGGTTATTGTAAACCCTAAAATAGTTAATACCAAGTTCAGAGAGCACTGCCCAGCACACAGTAAGCACCCAATAAACACTGCTCACAACTTGTCATTATTACTTGGTTTCGGTTTTTTTTTGTTTTTCTTTTTTGGAAATGCTGTTGCTCCCACAGGCAAGCTGGAGTGCAGAGGTGGGATCACAGCTCATGCAGCCCAAACTCCTGGGCTCAAGGGGTCCTCCACATCAGCCTCCCAAGTAGCTGGGACTCTAGGTGAGTACCACCACACCCAGTGAATTTTTAAAAATTTTTTGGGGCCGGGCGCGGTGGCTCACGCCTATAATACCAGCACTTTGGGAGGCCGAGGCAGGTGGATCATGAGGTCAAGAGATCGAGACCATCCTGGTCAACATGGTGAAACCGCATCTCTACTAAAAATACAAAAATTAGCTGGGCATGGTGGCGCTCACCTGTAGTCCCAGCTACTTGGGAGGCTGAGGCAGGAATATTGCTTGAACCCAGGAGGTGGAGGTTGCGGTGAGCTGAGATCACGCCATTGCACTCCAGCCTGGGTAACAAGAGCGAAAGTCAGTCTCAAAAAAAAAAAAAAAAAAAAAATTTTTGTAGAGACAGAGTTGCCGTCTGATGCCTACCTAGGCTGGTCTCAAAAATCCTGGCTTCAAGCAATCCTCCTGCCTCTGCCTCCCAAATTGCTGCGATTATAGGACTGAACTACCATACCTGGCCTATAACTATTATTTTTATGAATCATGGCCGGGAGGGGTGGCTCACGCCTATAATCCCGGCACTTTGGGAGGCCGAGACGGGTGGATCACAAGGTCAAGAGATTGAGACCATCCAGGTCAACATGGTGAAACCCCGTCTCTACTAAAAATACAAAAAATTAGCTGGGCATGGTGGCGCGTGCCTGTAATCCCAGCTACTCGGGAGGCTGAGGCAGGAGAATTGCCTGAACCCAGGAGGCGGAGGTTGCGGTGAGCCGAGATTGCGCCATTGCACTCCAGCCTGGGTAACAAGAGCGAAACTCTGTCTCAAAAAAAAAAAAAAAAGAATCATGGCCGGGAGTGGTGGCTCACGCCTATAATCCCGGCACTTTGGGAGGCAGAGGCAGCTGGGTCATTTAAGGTCAAGAGTTCAAAACCAGCCTGACCAACATGGCAAAACCCCGTTTTAGTAGAAGCAAAAACCTCTACTAAAAATACAAAAATATTAGCTGGGCACGGTGGTGCATGCCTGTAATCCCAGCTACTCAGGAAGCTGAGGCAGGAGAACGGCTTGAACCTGGGAGGTGGAGGTTGCAGTGAGCAGAAACCGCGCCACCGCACTCCAGCCTGGGCAACACAGCAAAAGTCAATCTCAAAAAAAGAAAAGAATCAGCCCTGATTTAGACTCCGCTTCTCCATTTTCCTGCCTATGAATCAGGGAGAACGTTTACTTCCTGGGGTGGATGGAGGGCTAAGGACGTCAGTGAAGCCAGGAGCCCAGAGCTGCTCAGAACAGACTGAACTGTGACGCACACCATGGCCGGTGCAGGAAAAAGGGTGCAGAAGCTAAGCCCAGGCAGCCCCTGGAGACCTCCTTGTGTTTAACGCACGGCCAGAGGAGCTGAAGGCAGGTGCCCCGGCACCGACACGGCTGCTCTGCCCAGCGCTGTCTAGGCTGCGATCTCTCCTCCGGGCTGTGAAAAAAAAGCCTCTTTTATCTGCCTAGTGAAAGTCGGTGCCAGCCCCAGGCCTGGCGCACGGGCAGAGGAATGAGGGGAGGCCTTAGGCCTCACAGCCTGGCCTGGGGACGCCTCGGCGCTGACTCTGGACTCGGGGCAGAAGGCCAGCCGGCCCCTCCCAGCAGTTCTGCACCCAGATGTCGGCGGGGCCCCAGAAAGGAGCCGGCAGGAAGAGGGCGCGTGTAGCAAGAGGCCTCGCCGCGCCCGGTCCCTTCTCCAGACCCCACAGCTCAGCAAAGGAAACAGAGGAAGCAGGCGGGGCTGGGGGCGCGGATGGAGCCCGGGACACTCGGGGTGCGTCCCGCCGCGTGTGACCACCGGGACGCGGCGTCGCCCCTGCAGCTGCACCCCGAGAGCCTGGGAACCCCCGCGCGTGCGGCGTGAACTGCGCCCCGGCTCCGGGGCTCGCAGGGGCGGGAGGCCTCGCTCTCGGCTGCTCCCCGGAAGCCCGGCCGTGGGTCCCACCTGCTGCCGGGAGAAGCCGCCCAGGACCGCGCCCCCGCCCGCACCCGCCCATTCCACAGCGGGGAAACTGAGGCCCGGAGCAGCCGGGAGGTGGCACCGCCGCGCGGGGGTCCTGGGCCGCCCGGAAACCCCTCGCACGGCGGGTGTGGACCCGGGTGTGGACCCCGGAGCCGCCGCGGGACCCGGGGGGGGGGGGCGGCCGAGGTCTCCAGGCCCCGCGTCCCTCCAGCTCCGCGCCGCTCACCTGACCGCCGCCGCCGCCGCCCGCGTCCGCCCGGCCTCCCCGCTCCCGGCCCCGCCCAGCCGCCCGCCGCGCCGTCTACACCGCGCCCGCTGCTGCCGCCTCCGGCGCGGAGGCTCATGGCACCGGGTCCGGCCCCGGCGTCCTCCACCCATCGCCCCGGCTGCGCGTCCCCGTTTCCCGGTCACAGGAGGCCTGAAATCCGAGCCCCAACGCGCTTTTTTTTTTGAGACGGAGTTTTGCTCTTGTTACCCAGGCTGGAGTGCAATGGCGCGATCTCAGCTCACCGCAACCTCCGCCTCCTGGGTTCAGGCGATTCTCCTGCCTCAGCCTCCCGAGTAGCTGGGATTACAGGCACGCGCCACCATGCCCAGCTAATTTTTTGTATTTTTAGTAGAGACGGGGTTTCACCATGTTGACCAGGATGGTCTCGATCTCTTGACCTCGTGATCCACCCGCCTCGGCCTCCCAAAGTGCTGGGATTACAGGCGTGAGCCACCGCGCCCGGCCCCGCGCTTTTATTTTTATTTGCATTGTTATTTTTGGGAGGGAGCCTTGTTCTGTGGCCCAGGCTGGAGCGCAATGGCGCGATCTCGGCTCACCACAGCCTCCGCCTCCTGGGTTCAGGCAATTCTCCTGCCTCAGCCTCCCGAGTAGCTGGGACCACAGGCGCCCCACGCCCGGCTAATTTCTGTAGTCTCAGTAGAGACGGGGTTTCGCCCTGTTGGCCAGGCTGGTCTCGATCTCTTGACCTCGTGATCCGCCCGCCACGGCCTCCCAAAGTGCTGGGATTACAGGAGTGCACATTACGCTTTTTCAAAGTCTAGGATCTATCCTAGAAGCCACAGATTATCTGTGCTTGCAAATACTATATGAATTGGGTGAATTTCCGTCCCAAGATAACTTGGGTCTCCTGGAGCCGTCAGAAAGTGGCATTCCTTACTTACCATAGATTGGGAATCCCATACAGAGATTACACAGACAAGTCAGGAGGCCAGTATCCCCAAGGGGCTTTTATTGGCTGAGTCAACTTTGATTTCTTTAAACAGTCTGTTAATATTTGAACACACGTCATTCCAGTGAAACTTTTGGTAAAATAACCAGTATCTCCAACTGCGTCCTCTCACACGAGAACACAGAATCCTATTTAACTTCTGCAAATTGCCATAAATTAAGAATACCCCAGCTGGGCTGGTGTCTACAAAAACATTGGCCGAGCATGGTGGTGTGTACCTGTGGTCCCAGCTACTTGGGAGGCTGAGGTGGGAGGATTGCTTGAGCCTGAGAGCTGGAGGCTGCAGTGAGCTGTGATCACACCACTGCACTCCAGCCTCGGTAACAGAGTGAGATTTTGACTCAAAAAAAATAAAACCAATGTGCAAAGAAAAGAAGGGTGAATTGACCCATACTAATAATCACTCACTGCGAGCAACTGCAAGCAGCCATTTCAAAGAGTATCTCTCTTATCTAGCTGTTACACACTAAGGTTACATTTTCTTACAATACAAAGTAACTCAGCTGACAGAAGTTTTTACAAAGGGAGAGCAGGGGCTTTAAAACAATAGCTGTACACATATAGCCCAAGTATTTTATTTTACTTTATTCTTTTGAGATGGAGTCTCACTCTGTAGCCCAGGCTGGAGTGCAGAGGCAAGATCTCAGCTCACTACAACCTCCACCACCCAGGTTCAAGCAATTCTCCTGCCTCAGCCTCCCAAGTATCTGGGACTACAGACACATGCCTCCACGCCCAGCTAATTTTTATATTTTTAGTAGAGATGGGGTTTTCCCATGTTGACCAGGCTGGCCTCAAACTCCTGGCCTCAACTGATCTGCCTGCCTTGGCCTCCCAACGTGCTGGGATGACAGGCATGAGTCACTGCAGCTGGTCCATAATACGTCTCAACTAAAGTTATGACAGCCACAGATGCATGTGGTGTGTGAAAGAGAAGGTGAGCAGTTTCTACGCTTAGAATCTCCCCAAAGGTGGTGTGAGGGGACCTTTGAAGTGTCGTTTTTCTGGCCAGAAACCTCTGTGGCCAGCGTACCTCTGCCCGACCTTTGCTCGGGCTGCTGGGCTTGTTTTGCCTGCTTGCCCTGATAGGCTGTGCTTGGCTCTTGCTACCAGCCTGGGTCCCACACCTGCCAGGGGAGACTCAGGTGTAGAACAGCCAAGGGTGCGGGTCGGCCACGGAGCACAGTCTGACATGCCAGCTGCTACAGCGGGGTGAGGGGGTCCAGGTGCTGGTGCAGGTGCCAGTTCTCTGCGAGGCTGTGGCCCAACCCGGTGCACCACAAGCAGCTTCCACAGCCAGCACTGGGGAACATGAATCCAGAAGCTTGGAGATGCCAGGAACCCAGGGCCCAAGGAGGGAGTCACGGCCACAGCTCGGGGACTCCCAGGTCTGGATCCCTGAAAGGCTGCAGTTCTTCTCTGCCTTTGTTTGCCCACACCATGATGAGTGAGGGCCATGTTACCGCCCTGTTTGTGTTACAGCTCTTTTAGCCCCACCATTGGATGGGTCCCAAGTTCTTGTCCTGCAACCAAGAAGAATGAAGCATGCAGACAAGTGGAGGGTGAGCAAGGCAAAAAGGCGCCTAACTGAGCAGTAGAACAGCTCAGTCTCCCACAGCGGGCAGCTCCTGTCCACAGCCAGGTATCTCAATGAGTGTTCAGCTCCTAGCAGAGAGGAGACCCTGGAGTGGGCAGCTCCTCTCTGCCACTGGACATGCCAACATCTGCTTTGCTCTGGCTGAGCTCGCTCTTATGGGCCTCAGAGGGGAGGAAGGGCGCACTGATTGGCCCATGGGTGCCCATGGGTGGGCCCAGAAGAGGCACACAAGTTCCCACTCTGGTTCTGGTCCACAGGACTGGCATCCCTGGCCTGAAGGTGGGGCCTCACTGGGGACCTGTCCCCTTCAACCCAGGAGTTTGTC